GCACTACGCCCAGCATGGGACCATCCTTGGGCTTGATGGTAACCGAGCCGCTTGGGGCTGTCACCCGCTTGAGGCACACACCTAAATTGGCACCCACGGGCGGAGGTGTCTTTGTGCGATGCACCATTTTACCGCTGGGTATTTCACGATATCCATCCTCCTGGCCACCCGTACGTCGTGTGTCCGTTGCCGGCGGCATCTCAGGATTGGTGTGTAGCATCGGTTCGGGCGCCACCAGCGGTGCAGGGCCTGGAAAGAGCGCGGATAAACTGCTGCGGCGGCGGTTCATGTTGGGCGCCGATACCGTCTTGGCCAGCGGAAACTTGGACGGCGCTGTCAGCTCGGCTGCTAGATCAGTGCTCATGGCACTGGCGGTACTGCCGCGGCGACTGCCACTAACACTGCCGCTGGCAGGCGCAGAGTCCATGCTGCTGATGCTCGAGCTGTGCAGGCGTTCGGGTGCAGCGCTTCTCTCGTGGTTTCGCTCTGCTGGCGACGTGCTGCGCTCTCGGCTGCGATGATGGGAGCGTGCGGCTCGAGCTGCCCGCTGCATGCGGAGCAACTCAATGGAGTCAACCAGGTGCGAGGTGCTCTTGGTGGGCGAGGAATCGCCAGAGATGGCATTTGCCTCGCCTGCGTTCATCAAATGCATTTCCATTGCATCATCCAAAATGTTGGGCAGTGAAATAAGCCGATCACGTGGCGCTTCAATGGCCGGCAGAAGGCCCTTGTGCGATGGACTCGGTGTGGCATCCTGTTGCCGCTGTTGCTCCGCTTCCAGCCGCTGTCGCTCCACGACACGATGCAGCTGCTGTTCAGCTTCAAGAGCGGCTCGTGCTCGCGCCTGCGCCTCTACCTCAGCGGCCCGACGCGCCTGCTCCTCGGCCAATGCGCGCGCCTTGACCTCGGCTTGAGCACGAGCCTGTGCCTCGGCCTCGGCTGCAGCTGCGGCGCGAAGATTGGCTAGCTCCGTGGCCGTCATTTGCTTAATGCTCAGGCGACGCTCTGAATCGATAATTAACTGGATCTGGCCACTGCCCTCCGGTCGGGCAGTGAGATCCGCGCAGCTGAGGGCGATCAGTTCGCTTAGTTCGTTTGACATCCCGGCTGCCAATATACGCGATATTTATATGTGTATATATATATATATAGATATATTTATATGATAACTGCGAGTATCTTGAATCTGTTATCTAACTTTTCACTGGTGTATCAATCCTAATGTGAATTGCGTTGGGTTCGACTTGCTCGACGCGACTCGCGACGCTGCTGGCGTTTGCTATAAAGAAACCTGCTCGATAGCCCTGTGAAGATTGAAGATCGTCGATATGGTGTTGGATTGGAGGATCGGTAGGTTGGGGGGAAAGTAAAGCGCTCAATGTCAATGCCTCATTGGCATTTTGGCAAATGCATTTAGTCGTTTAGTTTCGATTTGACTTATTAATTGTTCGGTGAGTTGCCAACAACAAGAACAACAACAACTACAACAACCACAACAGAATCAAAAAACACTTTTCCTCCACCCTGCTCATTGGCGCCCGATGCGATACAAGTACAAGCAGATATATATGTACACATATAATATGTAAACGTTGTCTATACCTGAATGGCACATTGGCTGGGCCACTCGAGTTCGACATACAGACAAAACACATACATATGCATATCGTAAACAGCAATGAGCTCATTGATCGGGGCGCCGCAGAGCAGCCTGCCAATTCCTGGCTAACGCCTGCACCCGACAATGCCCCCAAAATGCCTACACCTTGCCCTATATATGGGGAGCATGGTGTGGGAGAGATGCTGGAGCAAGAGCACACCAATCGGACGACTAAACACAGATCTACATATCCAAGTGAGTGACGGCCCTGCCTGTGATATATATAAATATATATGGAAGTACATCTATCTATCTACATATATATATATATATATATATATATATATATATATTCTATGTAGAACTCGCCAGCGGTTTTGATCTCTTAGCTCTTTAGCTACTAGTTGCCTCTGGCTGCCAGAGTGTGCTCGGTTCAAAATCTGTTTTTATTTTTAACAAAAAAAGACGACAACGCACGTAAATTGGCGCAGTAGTCATGTATGTGCTACATATGTAAATATATGTCTATCTGTGCACGTGTGTGTGTGCGCGTGGTACAGTGTGAACTCTTGCAAAGAACTAGCCTATGTAAACAGTTAGTTGTTACTAAAAAAAATTGGGCTTATCAGACGAAATTCTTTAATTCAAAACAATCAATAATCTCGACATATATAATTTTTGAATGAAACTTTTAATATCTATCAAAATTTTATTTAATTATATTTCTAATTATGGTTTCTTGTATTTTATACTAGATTTTCACTGTCGCACCTTTGCAGATCTGCCTGTCATATATAAATAAGAAAAGTCTTCTACTCCCTATAGCTTGGGTCTTTTTCTTATATTGGCAATATGTGCTTGGACTTTTTGCTATGTTTTTGTGGAAACAAACGCGCGTACCAAAAATAAATCCAAACATTACAAAAATAACTAAAGAAAATTGCTCGCCGAGCAGAATAAGAAGAAGAAGAACCAGTGGCAGCATCAAAGATCAGCATGATGGAACTGGCCGCTAGATGCTGCTGTTGGCTGATGAATAATCCCTGCTGATCTCTGATGCACATACTATATATATACACGTGTATATATATATATATAGTATATATTTAAATGAGTGTGTGTTCCATTTGTGTAAGTCGTAAGTTGTTGTTGTCGTTGTTGTTGTTGCATGAGATGCTGCTGCCGTTTGTTAGTTTTAAGTTTTTGTTTTGATTTGCTTGGCCGCTGTGTTGCCCGTTTATGTGCTTCTTCTTTCTCTCGTTTTCTAATCGAAATGTGTTTTTATATCATTCAACTCGAAAAAGTGCAAATTTCAGGCTCCAATTTAAATGTTACACCTGTTTCAAACCAAACGCAAGGCACATCAAAAGTTCATTTCGTAAAATTGGGGCAGTTTTGGAAGAGAATACTTTATAGTAATTGTTGTTGTTTTTATTTTGTTTCGTTTGATGTTTTGTTTTTTTGCGGCACTTTTGTAGTGGTTCTTGCTAGTTTGATTTTATTTTTAAAGCACTTAAATTTTCTCAGGTTTTATTTTTTATTTCTATTTAGTTGTTGGACTGCCTGATTATGTCACGCTTGATGCTTAACAATTGCTTTTTATTTTATTTTATTTATTTTTTAATGCAGTTGCGTATTGCCTTTTCCTCAAAGCCAAATGCGTTTTCATTTACATTAATGTGAAGTAATCGTTAAACATGTATTTATAAGATTTTTCCCTATTTCAGACACACACACACAAACACGTAGAAATTATAAACAAATTCGCGACAGTTAGTGGGCCAGAGTGAGATAGGGGTAGAGAGCGAAAGATATCGAGAGGGAAAGAGAGAGAGAGAAAAGACGCGTGTAGAAACACGTACCGTTACACGTTAGGCAAAGGCCTCGACGTACGATGGGCGAGAACGATACACAACCGACAAACGAAGATTTGAATCTGTTTCTGTTTCAGATTTGGAAAATGCTCAACCGAGAAAAAATATCCCGAACGTTGTGGATTTTCTGATTGCTAGCATGTGGTATATTTTTAATTTCCCCAATGGCGGCGGCCCAAGGCGAAAAATGCTTTTTTTTTGTTGATGAGTAAATGGCAAACACAGGCGCTAGGTGGAGCAGCTGCGTGCGCATTCGATCAGCTGGCCACGGACAGGCGCAGTACTTACGATCTGTACCCAGAGAGAGAGAGAGAGAGAGTGCAAGAGAGTGTGTGTGTTTGGTTGGGAGAGGAAGCTGTGTAGGGAGCAAACGATGCAGTCATGCAAAGGAAAATGAAAAGGGGGCAAACGACGTTTACGCTCTCATTCGCTCACTCACTAAATAGTCATCGTTGTGATCGACAAAGTACTCCTCGAGAATCCAATTGTCGCCGGCGTATCGGTCCACGGGCATATCGCACAGTGCAACCAAATCGAATAGATTACGTTGCCGCTTCAATAGCTGGCAGCGGCTGACCTGAGCCATATCAATGGCCGCCTCCCCGTTGTCCCAATTGTTGTTGCCATTTGAAGTTGGCGCCGTCGTCTCCTGCGCAACATGCTGCCGCCGTTTATATTGTTGCTCCAATTGCCGAAAGTACTGAATCTTGACGAGCTTCTTTGATCGCCAGCCGACGCGACAGTCTACAAATTCTGTGTGTGTCTGCTCGGCCGCTCAATTGCCGTCGCAATGGCCACCACCACCGACTGGGCAGCCCGCCCCACCCAACGAGTGTTAATGTCAAATGATCAATTGAACGAAAATAACAAGCACACCCGCGACAGGCATTCCGAGGGCAGAGCAATTAATTTTACAGATTATCATCTACTCACGCCATAGGGCAGACGAAAAAACACAGTCGAAACGAATCTTTACGATGTGATCACATGTGTAGAATATACAAGTATTATGCGATCGCTCTAGTTTTCCTATGAACAATGTAAAAAACTTCATGTTTTCCTTATCAAATACTTAAGATTCTAGAGTTAACAGCCCCTTGGAACCTCTTGGAATGCAATATAATATATTAATATTATTGCAAAATGCTTTAGTTTTTAATGATTAGCTTCGATATGCAGCGTGAGATTGGGTTAGTTGAGTAGTTCTAGTGCATATTGTAGTTCATAAAAATAAATTAATTACGAAATTCTTTTAATCTATTAAGACCAAAAAACTAAAATGGAATTTCAAACGATTACGTTTAATTTTCTATTTAATTGCATGTATTTTTTGTGGCAAAGCAACTCATTGCAAGTGTAGAACCACAAAGAGAGTTCAGTTTGATTATATTTAGCTCGTCACTTTCTTACGAATGATTACAATTTAATCGCAAAATTAGCACAACGCCGCAAAAGATAAGACTCGGGCTGATGATGAGTGAGTGCAATGGCGCCCAGAGAGCCATTAAGAATATAGTGCGAAAAAAAAGAGTATTTTGTAGAGGTAAAAAACAAAACAAAAATAAGAGAGAACACGAGGCACCGGCGCAACAATATTGAAACAGTTGGTTTTTGGGCAGGTGTTGGATAGGGTCGAAAGGGGTTTCTGACAGCTTACAAGGTAATCACTATCGTGATCAGCAAAGTATTCGATGACAATCCAATCCTCTGTGTACGGCAGAAAGCGCAGCGAAGAACACTCCAGCAACAGATCGCGATAGTGATCGATGCGTTGCGGCACGGGCAGTTCACGCATTTTGAAATAACATGGAATTTGGGAGCTCTCAAATTGTTTGGCTGTCAGCTGGGACTTTTCCAAATAGCGCTTAAAAAACAGCATCGTATCGGGCGGTGATTTGATAACTGATTGAGGGGCACACTACACACATTAAAGATACAAACTTGCAAGAAATTTGGCAAGCAGAGAGCGAATACGCCAGCTGTGATTCTGATATGTGAGGTAAATAAAGTATATACTAAGAAAACTTGATCGATTATACATACATAGGTGTATGTGTGTGCATACTATATACATTTGTTTCTCAATAGTTTACCGTATTGCTTATTCTTTCTTTTACCATATTTAAATAATAACTTTTTTTTTTTCAGATTTTCAATTATTGTTTGATTGCTCAGCCCAAATCGTTCGTTTGTTTTGTTGGGTGTTGTTTTAGAAAATGAAAAGTTTTTACCTTAGCTTGCGATTGGCGATTGTTGCGCCCGCTGTCGCGCTCATCCTTGGCGCGATCGCGATGCCGGCGCCGTGAGCTGGAGTGTGAGGTCTCCTCCCTATAACGGTACTTATGCTGCCGCCGGCCAGTGACGGGCGATTTGCGATGCGAGCGCTTGGAACGCTCCTTGCGCCGCCGGGACGACGAGAGGCTGTCATCAAAACTGGAAAAAAAGATCAAAGAGGTAATTAATAAACGGGTTCACAAGCTTGCGAATTACTTAATACTTTAAGCATATACATAAATATATATATATATATATATATGTACATGTATAAGAAGTATAGATCCGACAACAGATGAATGGCCGTCCTTGACGCAACGCCCAGCACAACTGTCGAATTATTAGCGCATTTACGAAAAGTAGCCAGCCAAGAGAATTGGACAGCAAACGGAGTCAACATGGAAAGCTACTTAACAGCGCTAAGCTGGCTGCTGCTGTTGCTCCGCCTTCCCGTCGAGTTCTTGGGCCAAGCCGCTGAGCGTGTGCGTATGTGTGTGTGTTGGCGAATATGCGAATTTGCGTTACCAATCAAGTTAATCAACTTGGCCGGATGGCTGACTAGCTAGCTGGTTGGCTGTCTGCCCACCAGAGCACTGAGATATGCCTTTGAGAGTACGCTGTGAGATTGAAAAGTCGTCGGCCAAGTGGCAAGGCCTATGACACGGCACAAAATCCCCAACGTAAAAGCTTAAAGTACTAAGCTGAACCCAAAGGCAGAGGCAACCACTGTGCGCGAGGCCAGAAACTGTGTCAATAACAACAACGGTAGCCATATTACATCAATTGAACACACACGCACACCCCAACAACTAACGACACGCCCAAGCGAACTCCACATGCGGGTGGGCAGGCAGTCAGTGGCCGCCATGTAGCCAAGATCTTAGCATGAATCAGCAGCTGCTACGGCTACGGCCTGATCCGATTCGATCTGAGCGGAGATAACTGACCTAGGCAGGGGCTGCCGCCAAGAAGTGAAGACAAGACCGTATGCTAATAAGGTAAACACCGACAAGAGAGCTGCTCTCAAGAGACAAGCGAAATACGACAAAATTTTGAATTTGATTTTCGGTTTATTCTCGCCCACACGTGCTGCTGCCGCTGCTGCTGCGAGCGCCTCTAAATTTGGTCACAAAATTATGAGAACGCAACGAAGCTGAAAGTGACTTTGACTACAAGTACGTTACACTCAAACTCACACACACGCACACAGATGTCAGTGCACAGCTGCAGAGGCACATAGATACATAACAAAAAGCTCAACGCCTGCGCTCACTTTAAGTCAGCTTGAACAAAAACACAGTCAAGAAGTCAGCGCCCGGTTTTGTATGTAGGCTCAAATCTCTTGGCTCTTGGCTCTCGGCCAGCATCAGCCGCACAACAAAAGATCTTTGACTGGCGTCTAAGCGGCAGCATGTGCCTCTTAAGGCTGTAAGGTAGTTGATAATAGGAATATACAATCGAGAGTTGCTTAATAAGTATGTGGCTTAAGAACAATTTCCACAAGTCTCGAGAAATGTTCGAAATGACAAGAGAAAACATTGAATGTTTATAAATAATATAGTTAATTTTTAACAGCTGTTTTGTTAACATTTGCATTAGCTGTAGCACGCTATAGCTAACATTTACCGGATAAACATTTGAACGCAATGTTAAACTGACAAATATTAGCACATTATGTTAAGTTAAAAAACAAATATAGTAAATGCTTACAGCTGTGGCACCCTTGTTAATAACAAGATTGCTAGATTGAAAAATCTAACAGACATTTGTTATACCCTTGTGAAAGTTACCATAATTTTTCCATGCGCAACACAAAGGAGACAACTGCGACCCCATAAACTACATGTATTCCAGATCGTGTCCGTCTGTCTGCTTTTATGCGATTAGTCTCTCAGTTCTAAAGCTTTGAATAGATCCGTCCGACTGGATCGGACCACCTTATCATAAAGCTGCCATAGGAACGATCGGTCGAAATATAGGCTTTTGTAAGGAAAACTCTTTTGGTTATCAAGATATATTGACCAAAATCAGCATTTATTAGTTAAACTATGCTGCTTACATATAACAACTATTTTATATATTTCTATTTGATATATTTTCATAAAACTCAGCATTTACGAGCTTCGCTATTCTTACATATCTGCAAACCCGTAAGGGTATTAAATCTTCGGCGAGCCGAAGATACCTTAACTTTCTCGCTTTCAGTTAAGTTGGCGAAATTTAGCTAGCTAATTTTCAATCTACCCCCGATTGAAAGACTTATAGGCAACCATTTTCCAATACGTTGTATTTCTGGTCTGGATTTTGATTAATGACGCGATGCGTGCAAATTAGAACAACATTTATGGCAAACTTTAATTGGATATTAATGATGAGATGTCGATTTTGGACTTGTGAAACTGTTCGCACTTGTGCACACGAAAGTCAGGCTAACATTAAGTAGCTGCCCGATTTGGGCGGAACGTATTAAGATATTTTTGTTGTTGTATAAGGTAATTGGCCAGGCAAGTGATTGCCCTGAGGCCAACTGATTTTGGCTTATATAAATGTGAATACACTTCACGAAAAGCAAACATGAATTGCTCGTAGAACCAGTTGAATGGACGGCATATGTGTACTTCAGATTGTTAACGATCGAAGATACCCAGATATGCAACAAAAATACGAAAAATGGTTCATGGCAGATAAGATAAGATAAATAAAAAAAAACTATCAATAAAATCTAGTTACTATATACACAGAGTTTTATTGTGTAAAATAAAAATATATCTATAGACTTGATTTTGATTCCTACAAAACGGGTCCGCACTGCCTCAGTGCATTGCTCAGTGACCCATTTATCAATTTTAAATGATAAATTTATGCTTATTTGTGATTTCTATTAGGAAGTTATGGTTATATATTGGAATTGTGATAAGATACTGTTCTTAATGATGTAATAATATAAGGCAATATTCGATCGACAGACACACCCGTATTTATTTATACACATAGTAGTTTATATTTCCTAAGAGTCATGGTCAGCCAACGATCCGTTTTGAGGTTGCGATTTTCGCAATTAGTTCCGAGTTTTCACAAGTAATACACAGATTGTCCAGCCCACCCACTTTTCAGGGTAGATATTCTCATGGATGATTTATATAATATAAAAGCCTTGCGATCAGTAAATACTTGTTCGTCTAGAGTTCTTGCTTGGCCTTGACCGATTCTTTGAATTACACTTAATTAGCTTTTTATCAAGCAAAACCCCTTGACTGAATAAACATGTCTACAGCGACTTTGTCTTGACCAAGTTCCTGATATATGCATATCTTATGGCAAGCAAATTCCAGCTCATTTATGAGCAAAGAGTGTGTGTGTGCTTAATTAAGATGACAAATGTCTGCAAATTGACAATGGAATAAGACTTAATTCTGCACTTCATTTCAAAACTCCCTGAACGTTTTTGTCGGCGAAGTAAACGTATGTGAATCGACAAATGTGTGAAAAGTTTCTTTGACTCTTGCCAGCGCTATTGAGTTATGAAATTAATCATTCCAAAAACCAGTTTCTCGCATGATTTACATAGATCTCAGCACAGCTGAGACACTTTAAACCCACAAGCAGCAGCAGCAGCCGACAAACATTTGCTGCGTTGCGAGAAATTTTTATATATATGTATATGTATATATATGTATTGTATACAGATACATTTTGTTTGTGCTGACCCTGAAAATGCCATAAATACATTAAGCAAAAGCGTACCGTTCATATGTCTGTACCCCCATCCTTTACCCCACCAGCCAAGAAATGCATAATAAAAAGCGTTAATAATTTGTTATTATTGTTGCTTGATTTTCTGCTTCCATTGAACTGTGAACGCATGCGTCACTGTGAGTTATTCGGTACAAGAAACTAAGAGATGGTAGAGGAAAAACACTCGCTGGGAATACTTAGAAATGGTTTAAGCTGTTCAAGAAAGCAAAACAACAAGCACAAAGATGCCATAACATAAAAATAATTGTACGAGTTATTAAACTAAACAAGGGTAGAAAATAGTCAATAGTTATATATGGAAATACATAGAGAAAAACCTCGTAGTTCTTGTACTTCCACCTTGAAGCTAACATTAGGAGATCATTAATTTATTTTATTTCAAGCATATTTAGCATATTCCTATAGAACGGAATATAGAGACAATTAAGCAGCCCTCGTTTGGCAAGTCTTGAATAGCTTTATACGATTCTTTTTCAACGTATATATATATATATACACACATACTTTGATTAAAGTAGAGGTCAGTATTTTTTAAGTGAAACATAATGAGAAACCGGAATTTTTGGCTTGTGTTTGGGCTAAAAGCAAATCGATGACAACAACTCTTGCCAATGGTGCTAGCGGCTTTGTTGTTGTTGTTGTTGTTGTTCTTGCCATAAATGACACAAAGTGCCGTTACAAATATTGTAAAGAAAAAAAAAAGTTGATATGAAGAATGTATAAATAATACAAATAAAGCGTATTGGGCGCACAGGGCGCATGAGTAACGGCAATATGCAAATTGATCTGCGCGTCGATGCGAATCGAGGGCGTCGCGGCGAGCCTTTAGAGTTCGCCCAATGCCCAACGCCCGACGCCCAAGGTCAATGGTTGCGTCTGCGCAAACAGAGCCGACAAAAAAGCGACAGACAAGACAGACCGGCAATTCGAGCGAGCACATCAAACAAACTGCGAGCACTGTAAATAAAGCAGGCAGACAGATGTGACAGACGGCCGAGACGGAGAAACTGGCAACTGTTGGGTAGCTGCTTTGTGCGTCAGGGCGGCCGCTCGGTCATGTCAGGAGCAGAGCGCGGCGCTGAGTCAGCGGGCAAGTTGGTCTGGTCGCCGTTCGTCAGTTATGCAGGCGTTCAGTATTCAACCAGAGATCGCGCGCGTATGCGCGGTTCAATGAACGTAATGTAATGTATACCCTACACACACACAATACAATGTGTGCACACTGCTGCCCCGGCGGACAACAACGAAGCCGGCCATTACAGTTAACAAAAAAAAAGAAACAAACAGTTAAGCAGTCAACAAGCTAACTAAAATTTGGCAAATGGCCGCTGCTGCCCTCAGTTTCAGTCGTTGTTCGATCAACAGCACAAAATCTCAAAAAAGGAAGCAATGAAATTTTCTGAAATATACAACAACAGATCGCAAAGATTATACTATATTGCATTATTATTGTTATTCTTATTATTTTTGTTTTGTTATTTTAGTCAATCACCTTTGGCTGAGTGCATTTATAGGAAGTCAATAAAACCAATATAAATCATTGCGCATAAACAACAGCATTTCCCCAACTTGCGGTTTAACTGAGATTCTAAAAGCTGAAATGGCGAGGGGAATGGGTGCGGTGCGGTACGGTGCGGTGGGGTGGGGTGGGCAGACACTAAAAAACATTGCATGTGCAAATTTTCGGTCTGCCTTGCAGTTGTCGGAACTGCTCGAGAATAGTGAGCTCAAAAGTCAAGACAGCGTCAAGTCAACTTCATTGTTCTTGTTGTTGCTGCTGTTGATGTTGTTGTTGTTGTTGCTGCCGGCGGTAGTCGCATCGATTATGAGCGTATATGGACTATGGAGACAGGTCCGGTTTGTTTTGGAGCGCGATAAACGTCAGATAAACGAGCCCGAGAGCAAAACAGAAGCAAAAAAAAAATAGTAATAATAAAAAATAAAATGAAAAACCAAGACTACGGCATAGCTGAAGTATGGAGCCCCTCCCAAGACTTGAGTTCTGCCAACCCAACAATTCCCCGCCTAGGGGAAAGAGCAAGAAAAATACTTGACTACCTGGAGCAGCTGCTGACATAATTGCGGTCAAAATATTTGAAATCTGAGCTGGCAAACAAAAGTTTCAACTTAAAAAAAAAAAGAAGTGATTTCGGAAATTTTTAAAAGAGTAAAAGTAAATATGATTTCGTTTTAACTTTAAAGTGAAATACAAGATTTCATAAAGCTAGTTTAAAAATCAGTCAAGCAATCCTTTTAATATAATAAAAAAATATATATATGTTCATATCTGATTGAAATCCACTATCAATATCATGAGTTATGTTCAATACATAAATACGATAGGAATAACTCAGATAAGAATCTGTATACTAAACAACATGTATATATATCTTTATGTATGAACTATGCACAATTATATATTCCGATATCCACAAATTCAACTAATATTTGCTAAAGTTACAGACGAATTGTTTAGATAGCTGATATGGTAGAGAACCGATATAAGTAATTGCCCAAAAGCAAGCAGCCTATTAAGAACTTCTAATTTCCTAATTTGCTTAATGCATCATTTAGAATAAAATTCGCTGTTTTAAAAGCAAATTTGTTGATCGTAGGAACAACAAAATGATGTCAGTGTATAATAATTTATATGCTTCTCATAACAAGTTACCCCTACTTAAAGGGTTTCTTCGGATCAACCCAGATGCAAATGAGGCCAACAACAAAAAACAAAGAACGAAACAAATCGTTTGCACCAAACGAAGTGTGCCACTCCAGCTTGGAGGGCCGAACGTGCCGCTGGCGGCACGTAAAATATAAAAACGCTTTCAAGAGGTGCCCAAGCGAACCGTATGAAGCGGCGCTTAGCTTGCCTAATGAGTTGAGCAGCGGCTCCACAGCCGCATTCGTAAGTTTTATAAGTAGGGGCGGCGTGCTTGACCAAATTTGGCAGGGATCTTGAGCGGACCGAACGTCAACAATGTGAGGAACGACTTAAGTATAAAGTGGTGACAGAACGCTTAGTTAACAGCGGCAGCGCAGTGGCAGCAGAAGCGAGAGGAGCCGCCGATGAATAGCTGCTGGTCACCAATAGAGTCTAGCTTCAATTTCCGTATGCTGCTGCTGCTGACAGATACTCACTTATACTCACATGTCGTGGACCCCAAGTGCTCGGACCGACGTCGCGTCTGTTGCTGCTGCTGCTGTTGTTGTTGTTGTTGCTTGGAGCTCCTGAGATTGCTGTGGTTGCGGCAATTGTTATTGCTGTCGACATTGGCTGGCAGCAGCACACGGTCGGCATAGAGCGGCTTGGGGGCCCACGATGCTGCGGCCACATAAATATCCGTTCGAGGCGTAGGCGGTGTCTGCGGCTCGGGCGTTCCAGCTGCATAGCTATAGTAACCATCCTCGGGCTCATCCACTACCGAGAGCCGATGCTTCGTTGTCGATGTGTTCGTATTGCTATCGTCGCTATATAAATACTCATGCATGGATCGAGCATATTTGGCGCTCTTGCGCCGCAGCTGAGCTGGCGTCAACGGCGCTTTATTGTGACTAGTTTGAGTGCTCCTGAGTGCCTGCATCTCGTCGTGATCGGGCGTGGCGCGTATCCAGGAGCTGGCGGGCACATATTGACGCTGCTGCCTGTGGCTGTGCACCACCTTGGAGAAGTCGACGTACAGTGCCTCATCTGTGGCAGGCTTGCGCTGAAACTCATCGTCATCTTCGTCTTGGGGCGTGGCAGGTGCACCCACGGAACTGTAGAAACTATAGTTGCTTGAGGATTGCGAATAGGAGCGATTACGGCGGCCATAGAACTCATCCTCGAAGGGCAGTCCTTGTGGAAACTTCTTTGAGTAGGCCTTCTTCAACTTGGGCGAGTCATGCGAATCGCTGCTGCCCGTCGAGGAGGCACCGCCCTCGCCCTCCCCAGCAGCAGCAGATGTAGCTGTCGCTGAAGCGGCTGCGCGCTGTCTTAGGCTAAGCTTGGGCGTTACCGGCAGCTGTCGGCGCTGCGCCAGCGGCGTGGCCTTCAGCGTTATGAGATCATTGGGTTGCTTGCGCTGCGACTGTGTCTGTGGCTGCTGTGGCGGCAACGGCGCTGGATAGTTCTTGCTGGAGCGCTGTGTATGCCGTGCCGTCGGACAGTTCTCCTTGGCGCAACGCGCATTTGTGGCCTGGTAGCCGCGTTTCTGTGGGGAATTGGCGGATTGCTGGGATTGCTGCAGCGCCAACTGACTCGGCTTTCTGGATTGCACCTGAGCTGCAGGCGGCGCTGGCGCACGTGGCTTGCCATACCGTGAGCTCGAATTGGGCGCGGCACAGGTGTTCTCAATGCGCCTGATTAGCTTAGGCGTCAGCGGCTTGACGTTGCGTTGCTGCTGCTGTGGCTGCAATTGCCTATTGCTGCTGCAGTAGCTGCTGCGCCAGGGCTGCTGCCTGCTAAAGCCATTGCTTAGGCCCGGCTGCTGATTGAGGGAGCTAGACGAGGAGCAGGAGGAGCTCGAGACAGTGTTATTTTTTTGACTGTTGCCCTTGGCAGCTGTTGCTGTCTTTGTTGTTGTTGTTCTGCTGTTGGCACCATTGCTGCTCAGCGGTTGTCCAATCTGTTGGTTCATGTTGCTGTTGCTGTTGTTGTAGCCACAACTGCCACGTGGCACTCGAAAGGAGCTATATGGACGAAATCCGTTGGCGTATTGCTGTCCCACGATCGGCATTTTGTTAGCTTTTCGTTGTTTTACTCGTTGTTATTAAAATTCGTTGTTGTTTTTTAATGTTGTTGATGTTATCATTGACGATCGTTTTTGTTGTTGGCGTTAAAATTTAAACGACTGCTTGCATTTACTTTGAACGCGCGCGCGAAATTTTAATTCCGTTTTATTTTTTCCTTTCAGATCTTTATCTTTCGTATCTGCAACATTTGAAAATGGCGCAAGTTTTTTAAATTGAATTCTCAATGCTGTGCACACACGCTGACAAACCCAAGCAACACGCTACATGTGCCCATAGCCCCCTCTCCCACGGTCACATTGCTAATCCCTAATCCCCAACCCACCCACTCATTTCATTTCAATAAATTATCGAGCACTTTTTTTTTTGTGTAATTAACACGTTCTCATTGGCTTATGAATTTTGCTCGTGTCAGTCTGTTTACAGCATTGCCTCAACCCAACACCCGCTGCCCGATAGAGCCGTGCCACATGCTTGTTGTGGAACGATTGCATTTATGAGACTTCTTGCTGGCCGCATTTGTTGCTGTTGCACATGTCAGCATTGCGAAAAATTGAATTAGCTGTGAAACTAACCCTGAACCTAGCCGCGATTTTGTCTGCCTCCATGCCGTCAGCAAAAGCAAATCCAATTGACAAGTTCATTGATAGGACCCCGAGCAGAGCGACTAACCAGTTTACTTTGGCTTTATGCAATTTAAAAAAAAAATACGTTGATAGAAAGTGGCTACAACAGGTCCTCCGACCAGTTTTCATACAATATTTACTCATTTTTTTTGTAAATAGTTTTTTCACCTGAATCGAAAAGGAAACGCAAACGGGTCAAAACAAAAGTTGAACCACAAAACAGCGACAACTTGTTGCGGCAGCTCCAGCTACAGCTGCTAATACCTTGGCTAATGACTCAAGTGACGACAGCAACAGGCCGTGAGTAATGCGACGAGAGTTCGTATACGAAATGTATATATCGGAAATGCGTCCAAATCCTCTGCAATTCAGACGCTATCAGCATGTCCGGCTACGATAGAAGCTAGTTTTTACATATATATGTATATGTACATATGGAAGCACAAGTATGTATATCTTGTAGGCGTCTGTGCGTTGTCGTCGTTGCCTTCGTCATATCTTATCAAAGTTAGTTAACCCAACCAAGTGAAATGCTTGGCCAGAACAGGCGTCTGCTTGGCGTTTACGAAATGTGAACAGCATCGAAAATTATCATGAGTATATATGACTTTTTTTTAAATTAAAAAATAGCCCTAAGCACTGAGCAAACGCTTTTTAATTTGCAGGATGCATAAACAAATTGCTTAAGGCTGTTGTTGTTATTATTGTTGCAGCTATTTCAATATGCACTACACAGAGACACACGCACACTCAGGCACACAAATTGCACACTTGACAGCTGCATTTGTTGCAAATTATAAACACTATTTTTGCAAAATTTTTACATTTCTTTCATAAAGGCACTTTTGCTTTGTTGTTGTTTGTTGTATTTATTGTTGCTGCTGATGTTGAGGCTGCACGGCGGCGACGTCCGAAGCCAGCACCTCCATTCGCTTGCAAGTTGTCGTTGCGACTGAGCTTTCGTGGGACAAGTCCGCAGCGAACAAGTGTCGGTTGCTTGTAGCTCGCCGCAACGGCGAAGCAGCTGGCTGTTCGCTGCTGCCGTCGACGCGCATTTCCAGTTTACAGTTCGATCATGCCCAGCGAGCGAGCAGCAGCAGCGTGCGCCGCCACATGTTGAATTCGCCGCGGACCGTACGATGTGCGTGTGCGCCCAATTGACAGCTCACACGCACACATACATTTAAACAATTGAAATTGTAAATATATATGCAATAAAAAATATAAAAAAAACAATAAATAGCGGAAATACGGCAATGTTTTGACACTTGAGTATAATTTATATACCCTGTACCCAAAAATGGGTAAGTATGAGTTTAATTTAGTAGTCCGAGTGGTGCGTGTAACAATCCGAAGAAAGCATCTCACTCTCTATATAGTATTCATGTCTTGTAAATTATCTGTATCTTTCCGTTGTGAGCAATTCCTTATACAGTCGCTTTTACGCTTGGTTCTAATTGTGCAGAATATAGGATAGGTATTTTCAATATTTTATAATCTATTTTGGTGGAATTGAACTTTTTTTAAATTATCATTTTTGCAAATTAGAATCTACTTGAAAGCCAAAAATTGATCATTTTTCTATCAGAAAAAGATATATGAAAAATAAACATCCATATACTTCTTAATTCATATAATATGGTTTATCTTTAATCCTAAGTTTGACTAAGTTTTATATTTTTTCCCAAATCGATGCTCGCTCTTTCCTAATCAGCCCATAAACCTATTAACATTTGGGAGTCATATAATTTTGAGATTTTTTGGTTAACTGACTTTATGTTGACACTTCCGCGTTGCAAGGTGTCGGATGAATAATGAGCCGAGCCAAGCCGCTGCTTATGCCATTAATCTGGGTACTGGCGAACACTTGGCAAGCGGGTTTTTATTGTTGCTAAATGAAAAGGTTAATAAACAAGGCGACTGTTGCGCATGAATTCCAGAAGTTTACGACAAAGAAAGCGACACAGCTAGTGGCAAATAAATTACAAAATACGACACTGATTAAGCCAAACGCAGCCAAGACTCTGTCGAGGGGGAGAGCAGCAGATGCTGTTGCGGCCGTGGCTGAGGCCATGCCTAAAAAGGCCAGGCCAAGTTTATAAAATAAAAAACAATAATAAATGCGACAACGTCGCACCTCAGTTGTTGCGTTGTCTGCGCGTTGTTTTGAGTAATATGCAAATATGTTTTAAATACGCAGGCGAATAAATTAAATCAACTGCAGCAAGGAAATGCAACGGGCAGGACACACGCCTACGCAATGAAACATCCCCGTCAACTCCGAAGCGGGTTAATTGCAGTTGGCACAAAGAAATCGGAATCACTGCATAAATTTACAGTAAGCTGACTAAGTCAAGAGGCAAGTCCGAGAAGGAGCTGGAGAATGACAGGCCAAGCTTGTGACACTTACAGGAACACGAGTTTCACCTGCCTTATATGGCCAAATGTTAATTTGTATCTCTTGCTCTGGGACGGACTATCTGGCTGCTGCGCGCTTTTTTACTGCCTTGGCCATTAAAGAAATGATCGTTTAAAAGCCATTGAAAAGAAAAAGCGAACACTACAGGAGTCGCTGAGTGGGCAGGGACATTGTCATGAAGGTAAATCTGGCGATACAATGCTTATACATATTGCTGACAAGTCAGCAATCAGGCATCGTATTGCGAGCCACAAAGAACAGTCAATTTAATTACTTTCATGTGAAAAAGTGCATACCCATTCATTTGGTTAAACTGACTTTCACAATATCTTCTCATGACTATTTGTTTGGTGTATACATAAATATATTCAAATAGACGAGAATGAATTTAACGAACAATAGTAGTCGATTTTGGAGTGTACTGAACCCAAGATAGTTAAGAAGCCCTTAACTAATGAGCATCTTTTATCTGGTCTATTCTATAATGGGTGGATTCTAATGACTCCCAACATTTTGCCTTTAACAATACATAAAAGAGAGATGGAAGGAAGAAAGGAATTGTCTGGTTCAATTTCAATGCTATACACATATTTCGGGTTTGACAAATTCATCATACCCTCTGCAAGGTTTTACAAAATATGATAATGTTGATAATAGAATTTACTGCATAACTGGGTTACTCACGTTGGTTCCTTGGATATATGTGATGTGTTTGCATCGATTTCATGTCTCCGTCGCTTGGCCGCCGATCTGGTGTGATGTGTCTTGGTTAGGCGCGGACTAATTATAAAGAACAAAATACCAAAGATATAATAATGCAAAAACTAATGACTAATTTTGTTGGCTAAGCATATGCATATATGCAAGAGCAATATTTGCCCCTGGTAACATATAAGCTATATGTTTATATAAATATATACATATATTTTTCGTAGTAGAAATGTGCAACTTACGGCGACGGTGCTTCAGCTAAGGGTGGCGATAGATCGCCAGTATCGAGTCGTCGACGTTTGTCTCGTGTGCCGGCTGAGGAGCGATCCCTCGAGTGATGTCGTCGCCTAGTTCTCGGCATCTGTAATGGGATGCAAAATACAAATATATATAAATAAAAGTTCCCATGTGCATATTGTACAAACACACACGCACATCGTGCCTACGTCACAGATTCAATTCAGTCGCAGTACAACAAATCAGTCTTTTACATTTGCTCAAACCGAAGGCAAAGGTGAGTATCAGTCTGCATGTGTGTGTGTTTTTCAATTGCAACGCTGATGCGCGTACGGCTGTGTGTATGTGTGTGTGTGTGAGGGGGCTTCATTTTTGTCTGTACTTTGGGCAACGAAGGCGGGGGGTAGGCGTAGCATACCTTTAACGCTTGATTTCCAGTTGCTTTTTGTTTATGGAGCACAATAAACTCGTTTTGCTGTTGCACTAAAACTTAGTCAGCACGAAAATTGATTTTTGTGTGTATTGTCTTGTTGTTGTTGGCCGCTTTACAAAGCGTCTGTCAAATTTACGCAGCTGCCTGTTTTGCTTGTTGGCCACTTTTGGCACGCATGTGTTAAATGCAGCGTGGCAGATAGGTCACTTCGATAGTTTTACACTCTATTTTAGGCATAAAAACTCGCTAATCACTGCAAAATTATTATTTTCTTTTTGTGAAAATCGTGTTTTTTCTACAGATATTTCACGTCACTTTCATTAAATTCACCACATTTACCGAGAGCTACCATGTTGTCGTAGTAAATGGCAGTGCTGCCAACTCGCCCTAAAAATTAAACCATCGGTGCATTATAAATATCTTGGTATTTCTCTTATCTGGCGGGAATTATTTAAATTTATTATTGTTTTCTGTTTGGATTTTGCATTCGTAATAGATTTAAAGAATTTTTAAATTTTAGTAATTCATTCAAAAGTGTGGCAGCACCACAGCAGCTGAATGCGCAGCGCGATTTGCAAAACAGCCGCTCGCTTGTTCGCATTGGTCGATTTTGTGTGCCTTGGATATCGTCTGACCTAGCAGGTAGCCGCAACGGCTCACAGACACATGCGTACGCCTGTGTGAAAGAAAATTGCCTTGTGTTTAACATGTTATCTTACCTCTTCTTCTTCTTGTGTTTGTGTTGTTGTTTCTGCTGGTGGCGGCGCTGGTAATGCTAGAAACGGTGATCGAGGTAAATATAAACGATTCCACAAGCCACCAATTACCCTATTTAGCAATTGCCAAGTTTGATATGCTTTTTGCGAGATGTTTGAGTTCATTAGTAGATAAATCCCCGAATAAATGAGACAAATCGAAAACTAAATTGCACTTGTTGCCTTTTTAGCATGCGTCGGCGTTTGTTTTATATTTTTTTGGCGCAATTCTGCGCTTCTCCGTTCTTTTTGGCTGCCCAGGTCGGACAGCTAGCTATCTTTTACAAATGTGCAAAGCATTTTACAATTTTAGATTCGAACTTTACACTTTTTAAAGACAGCTATGGCAATGGCTGCTGAAACCAATACGTTTAGAAATAAAATTGAATTGCAGCCAAGCCAAGCGCGGCAGCAGCTGACTAGATCTGCTTCTTCCTGCTCAGCGTTGCCACCCTAAAAACACCGTCAATGCCAATAAGTGATAGTGTTGATAAGTTGGCAAGTGAGCAGCGCTGCCACACTGTTGCCTTTTAAATTTATCAGCTGTCGTTCAATGCGCGCGCGCGTTTTTTTCTTGTTGGCGCCCAAGGAAAATACTGGCAATTCAATTGCATAACAATACACGGCATAACGGTATCGTTATCGCGCATATCCTCAGTCAGATATTGACGTGCTTACGCTAACGTGCGCTGCGACGCCTGCTCCCGCCTTGTAGTGTTTTCCGTGTCCGCAACGAAAAAAAAAATAGATAAAATTGGACTATTAAAAATTCACGAATAAATCAACATTACGGAGTGTCAATGCCTAAATAATTAATCGAGTGTCTACCAAACGGTATGCCGTGCCTACGTCAGAGCTGCAGTAGGCACAAATATAGTCGATGTTCATAGCAGCAGCTCTTCCAAAGTTACCCGAACGTGTTCACACAACCCACGCCCGCCCACTCGCTAGAACTGAACACAAGGAAGTTTCTGCAGCAGCTGCATTGCGAATGAATGCATGCAAATTTTTTGCTTATTGGCCATTTTGTTGCCTTTAAATTGCATTGAACAGAATTTACATTGCTAACGAGGCGCATGCCAAAAGTAAGTATGGCCTATCGATTTTTACTAAAGCGGCAGAAGTCTGTCCTGCTCTGCAAGTCGCGTGATTCACAATAAATATCCTATTTCGGCTACCTCCCAAGCTGGCCCGTGTCTGCAAAAAAAAAACAAAAGAAACACTCACCCACACATAGAAATACACATAAACGTTGCTATGTATGTATGTATGTATGGTCGCAAATCCTTTTATTGGGTCACGAGGCAGCTGCGGCTGTGTGTTGACATTGTCCTGGTCTCATTTTTCATACGTAAGCACGTGCTTTTTTGGCACAGGACAGCGGGGCGTATACGTAACACAAAAAAGGCTCGCATGTGTGTAGGTTTGGGGGAAGTTGTGTGCGAAGCATTTTTATAGCACTGCGCCCTGGTTTATAATTCATGACATGAACTTTTGATTTCAGTTGCTGTTGCCGCCAATTTAGAGACCCGGCCATTGAACGCGCTTATACGTAAGGCATGGACACTGCGGCCGCCGCTGCCGCTGCCGTTGTCGTTGACCTGAGCGGCGAGTCGGTCGGCAAGTCCACTGCTAGCAAGCTGATTAGCAAGCCCAACCTAAAGCCAAAGCCGACGTCAAGCTACGTAGCAGTAGCTGCAGCAACCACAACGCCAGCTCCATGCAGCGTTGGCAGTGAGCACGATATCACCAACAACTGCCTGGGCAGCACCGTGGAGTCAATGTCTGCTACGCCGCCACTAACGCCGCGGCGTACACGCGTCATCTGCCATGAGACTGGAGATAGCTCAGCCGGCGGCACGGGCAATGGCGAGTCCCATGCTCGTGCCATAGTTATGAACGGTCTCAAGGATTTGGCCGGGGAGTGTTGCCATGCGGAGAGCATAACGCCAGCACGCGCGCCTTTAATGCCCGCAACATTAACGTCTTCCACGAACGCTTCCACAACGCCAATGTCTGCCTTGCTTACAGCACCAGCAACAACAACAACAACAACAACAGCAGCAACAACAACAAGCACACACACGACAACAGCAGCTGCATCGACGACGACGACAACAACAACAGCGACGGGAAGCAGCGGCAGCAGCAGCACAACGAGCACATCGGCGAACATGGACCAGCTGCTACACTGGCAGGACATGCCCAAATATCTGCAGTTCAATCCGTATGTCCTCCACGGATACCGTCCGCTTCAGACCTTCAAGGGCTGCCTGCTCAGTCTCTTCTATTGGCACAACGAGACCATCAACATACTGACGCACGGTGAGTTTTAAGATTCGCCCTCGCAGCCATCCCCGCCCACCCGCCCACACACCCTCAGCAGAGCTGTTGCTCATTTATCGATCTATTTCAATGACATTAACAATCACGGTCAAAGCCAAGTGCAAGTGCATATGCACATAAATAGATTGAGTCAGCCTTTCTCACAAACGCACATGGCCGTGCGAAAGGGATTCCTAAATAATTGTTCTTTAATGTAGTTTGCGCATATCAGTGATTCTATAAAAATGTGGTCGCGTCTGTGCAGCTTCCATTACGATAATTATATAAGTGCACAGGTCTCAATTATCTTAACATATATACTGCTTTATATATTAACTATTGCACATATACAAATTTTATACTTCTCGGGTAAAGAAAAGAACGCGATAGAATGCAAGAAAGTAAATTAGAGTTAGCCAACCTAACATAAAAACATGAATGTGTTACATGAATTCATGAGAACCGTAGAGTAAGGCGATGTTTCAAAATACGTTCTTCAATACGTCAATAAAACATTGCCTGGGCTTGTATAGGAAAACATAAATCACATTTCTATAAAATATTTTTTATAGATGTTTGAGAATGAGATTTAAAACCAAAAATTGTACAACTTTCCGGATCGATTAAAAAACTCGACAGGTTAACTGTATTGATCGATTTTGGTTGAATGTTATCGAAAGAAATAAAGTAAATTTGATCCAAGTTCCGAATTTGCAGTCTGGGAAAGGTGCGCTTTCATATAGACAGACCAAGACATAGGCCTAAAGTATATACATATGTCCCTAATAAAATCGAAGATATTTTTTTGCCTTTTACAAACATTTGCATAAATGTATTTTTTATTCAACTTTAATGAATAGAGCGTGTAAATATTAAACATTTTCCGGAGAATGCAATTTAGAATGAACATTCGAAATGCTATCACAGGGATAATAAAAACTTATTGTTATATAGCATATGAATGGAAAAAAAAAATCTATGTATGCTTTTAAAGCTAGTATATTTTACATTTATTTTCTGGATTCATGCGGGTGCCCTGGCCACACTGAAACTCTTTGGCGAACTCGTCGAAATTGGAGAGCGGTCCGATCACCCGGAATTTTCCGGGCACATGTTGATCCGTGGATACCTGCAGATTGCGTATGCGTGTGTGCGCATCATTGCACCAGATCTGCGCATAGCTGATGAAGAACAGCTGCATGTTGGTATAGTTCAGCGTGGGCAACTTCTCCCTGAGCAGCTGCCTTCTGCCCTCGACAGTGGCCTCCAGTGTCTCCTGCAAGCGGCCGTAGGCGGCATACGCCAGACGCATGCCGCCATTATCCGCAATGTTCTCCGACTGCGCATTCGACTTGGGCAGCCGCATGCCATTGTAGGTGTACTGACTGTACTGTTTCGTAAAGCACTGCTGCCGTTGCAGGAAATTGGTCGTGGACTGTGCATCCCACCAGTCGTTGATGTTGCCACGTGCATCGAACTTGCGGCCGGCGTCATCGAAGCCGTGTATTAGCTCATGGCCGATCAGCGAGGCCAATGTGCCGAACTTGATGGCATTCGGATAGCTGGCAGCCCACAGATAGTAGGGCTGCAGCAGGGACACCGGCACCCTGATTGCATTCTCCACCAGAATGTTGGCTGGCGTGTAGCTGAACAGATCTCCCGCTTCCAGCGGCTTGACGGGTTTGTGCAGCTGCTCTCGCTGCTGCCTGGCGCCCAGCATGCGTGTCTGGCGCAGATTCTCGATGTAATCATCACGATGTAGTTGCAGACCCGCAAAATCCTCGGTCAGGTTTTCATTGGCATGCGAATTCACCTGCAGTGTCATGGCCGCCAACTTTTCGATGGCATATTCGCGTGTACGGCGGCTAATCCAGTTCAGCGACTGATCCGATTGCAGCGTCTGCTCGAAGGTGGTCTTCAGCTGGCGCCAGATAAGCTCAACGTCGGAGGCGGTGGCATTGTTATTGTAGCGCCGAAAGATCATGTTGTCCAGATTCTTGGCAAAGTACTGCTTGGTCAGCGATATGCACTTCTCCTGCCGCTTGGCCACCGTCTTGCCGGGCTCCATGGCGAATTCATCAATCAATCGAAAGAATATATAGTTGGCCACAGTGCGTTTGGGCGTGCGCCCCATCACCTTCATTAGATTCCGCTGATACTGCGAATTGAAGTCATAGACGGGGTCGTTGATTTTCTCGCCCAGCGATATGTTAACCAATCTCTCTATGTTCAGCACGGGCGCATAGGCCAGCTGCATTTCGGCGATGGTCGTGAGCTCGGATATATCTGTGAGGTCCAGTCCGTCGGTCTCATCGAGCAGGCCATTGGCCAGACGCACCTCAAAGTTCATTAGCTCCGTGGCCGTTAAATGTGCCTGTACACTTTTCATACCCAAAAAGTTGATCAGCTTATTTGCCATGCTGGCTTGATAGGTGTTCCTGTAGTCGGCGGTGTGGTCGTCCAGGTACATGCTGCGTGTTTCCAGCGGGAACTCCTGCTGGCCAATGTACGCCAGATTCACCTCGTTGTTGGCAAAGTCCTTGGTCACCTCAATGCCCAGGATAACTACCAGTCCATAGCGATAGGCTATACGCGCAACCGTTTCCAGCCAGTCAAAGTCTGCCTCCTGCCAGGCACCAGCAGGCACCAGCGCTGGCATCGTGCCGAACTCGGCTATCAAATCCTTTAGCTTCTGCCGATAGCTTCTGTCCACCTCGTGCACATAAATGCAGGAATGGTAAAAGTTCTTCACCTGCACATCCTCGGCCGTGTCCAGGGCATCGTTTTCACTGTTCAGAGTTTGCTTCACCTTGCGATTGAGTCCTTCGGTCAGACGCTCAAACAGGCCCGTGGTTATCTGACTCGTTGTGGCCGGATTAATCCTCGCCCAATTGCCGCAGGCAAATTCATAGAAATTCTCACACGGATCGACGCTCTCGTTCATAAAGTTTGCCATTTCCGCTGCCTTCGCCTGTCGCATCACTTCGTCTATGTAGCCCGTATCCATCTTGCTGTCGGATATGAATTCGGCATCGACAGGCGCCGCTCGGCCACATGACAGCCGGAGCAGCAACAGCGGCCCGTACAATAAAAGCCATTGAGCATGACTCATTGGGATCAGCATCTTTCGCGTCGCGTTGTTTCTTAGTGGATCTGTAGCTGATGACTGAGCGGCTGGCACTCATTTGTGTGAATATAGAGTCCAGCTCGTCTATATAAAGATGCACAGATACTTAGCCCACTTGCTGATAAATGAGAGCAAAACAGTCCGAGCTTTGGCGTGACCCGTTGGGTTATCTCTATCAATACGATGTCGCCACAATTGAGACCCACACTCACAAAGCTCGAGTTAAAACAATTGCAAGTCAACCAGCTTGAAGCAGATGTACATGTGCAGGTTTACACTTATTTACCCACGCCTATTTGTGTCCAAATGATTCTTAAAGCTCATTATTCAATTCATCGAAAGCTAATCCTATTGCCGACCTCACATTATTTATACAAGACCAACAAATGCGCGCGTTTTCCTGGATTTCTCAGCGTTCCCGAGAGATTACGACAACAATCATGTCTCTGAAATTTCTGAGCACGTTTAATAGAAGCATGAAACTTATCAATTTTGTTGAGGGTCCTCAATTAAATATGTAAACAAAAGTTGTTTTTAAATTTGTATAAGAAGCAAAGCTTTATGAATTTAAATTCGCCTTGGTTTTGCTTTTACTTTGATTTCTTGCCATATTTTGTTTTCTTATGTTTTTCAATTAGAATAACATTTGCGTATGTTTAATTATGTTTTTCAATTACATATTCTACAGAGATTAGTTAATCAGAGCGTAAATCAAATTAACTTTAAATTAAAATATCATTTTCATCAATCTATTTTTCAACTAATTTGTCAAGGCATTTCAATTTTAATTAAATACACGTTTTATTAATGCCATTTACAATTGAAATAAACATGTGCTTGTTCTTGTCAGCTTTGGTGCTGCTCAGGCAGTTGATGTGCCAATTAAGCATTACCCTATTTCTATTTTATTTAAAGGATAGATGATTTTCAATTTCAAAATGTATTCGCAGTAAACAACATTAACAAGACATTGACAAATTGAATGCAATTCAATTTCTTTAACTTCTAGTCAAAGTTTTTGTTAACTAAGCTGGTCATGGTTTACTTGAACTCAGACTTTTCAACATTTAGCACACAATGGAATACAACTTTAGCAAGGCATTGACAAATTTAGTACAATTTACTTTCTTTAACTTCTCAAGTCAAATCCAAGTTCTGGTTAACTAAGCTGGGCTGAGTCTTTGAAGTTTAGATAACCATAAATAAACCATTTTATTCAGAGATTCTGCCAATAACAGTCAACAAACCTTGACAAGACATTAACAAATTAAATACTATCAAATGTATTTAACTTCTAGTCAAATTCAAGTTCTTGTTAAATAAGATAAGCTGATACGCCATAATGTACTTGGAGTTAGACTTTTGATTATTTATTCCACAATTGAATACAACCTTAACAAGACATTGACAAGTTGAATACAATTAAATTTTTTTTAACTTCTAGTCAAATTCAAATTTTTGGTGATCAAAATTTTTAAATTTATTCAGAGATTCTGCCAATGACAGTCAACAAACTTTGACAAGACATAAACAAATTAAATGTATTTAACTGCTAGTCAAATTTAACTTCTTGTTAACTAAGATAGGCTGATACGAAAGAGTATACTAGGTTTTCGGTGCAAACATTTTCAGTTGTTACACACCCGATTATATAAATATTTAGGTAGAATTGCTGTATGTATTTATTTACATATAAGATATGAGCTTTCTTTTATTAAAATTCATTGGGCGTAAATGCAATGGGTGTAATATAGTATACAACTGTGTGTGGACAAAAACGACAACGACAACGTGAGCTGTGACCTCATCACGTTGCCTTCTCTATGGTGTTCTGTATACGGACTTGGCGTCGGACCAATGACCAGTCATAGCGATAAGGAAAAGCTCCCGACTCTCGGTGGCGGATTGAAAGTGCGTTGCGGAAGGCGATTTAGTCGCTCTTTAGCCATGAGACGCATGTGGTTCAGTGTGGTTAGTTGCGCTCTGCTGTGGCTGGGCTGTGTGCGCAGCCACTTGTTGTCGCAGCCGGAGGTGGATACACACATACAGCTGCAGGAGCAGCTCATATCGCAGCACAATGACAGCGCCTATGTGCAGCGCGTGATGCGACTGGCCAAGTCGGCCGAGATGCGCAGCTATATGCAGCCGGAGCTGGATGCGTGCGATGATTTCTTTGCCTACAGCTGCGGCAACTGGCCCAAAATCAATCCGGCCAATGCGGCACAACCACGTGAGACCAATTACCAACAGCTGCTCGCCCATGGCTATCAGCACAAGCAGCAGCGCCTACTCGAGCAGCCAGCTGATCCGGACAGCGATGATGCGGCCGTGCTGAAGCTTAAGCAATTCTATGCCAGCTGCCTGCGTTTCCGGCAGACGCCCGAAGCCCTCTACCTCCAACAACTGCTGGAGATTGCCGCTGAATTTGGACTGCCCGGTCAGCAGAGGCCCGACGAAGAGTTCGACTGGTTGGCCACCGTGGCGCAAATCAAGCGCAAGTACGGCCTGGACATTATATTGCTGCTGCAGCAGGCGCCCGATCCGCACAACAAAACCCAGAGTCGTCTATACGTTGGCCAGCCGCCTCGATTAGTTGTGGAGCCCAATCGCGGAGCTGTTGCCCAGCGCATAGCCGTGCAGCTGGAGCAGCACTTGGGCGTGGAGGCGGCACTGGCGCGCCGCACAGCACAGGAAATCGGTGATTTGGAAATGTTGCTGGCCAAAGGAATGTCGAGTCGTCCAATTGGTCCACTCGCCCTGCCGCGTTCCACTGTGGAGCTGACCAATGCCTATGCGCCCACATTAAATCTGACACGTTATGTGGAACTGGCTTTGCAGCGTCCATTGCAGTCGGAGGAGACGCTCTACGAGCATGTGGTCAGCTATCAGGTGCATCTGCTGGTCGTGCTGGCCCAGACGCCGCCTCATGTGCTGGCCAACTACATCTACCATAAGCTGCTGGAGCGTTTCTACTACGACCGCTCGGCGCCAGTTGTGGGCCAGTGCTTGGCCAACACACGTCAGCTGTTTCCCGAACTGCTCAACAACATGGCGTATAGGCAGTATGCCGCTCCGGCCACCCTGAGCGATATCGATGCCGTATGGCAGCAGATCAAGCTCAGTTTCCATAATGTGCTCGAGAGCTCCGGCACGGATTGGCTGTCCGTGGCGACGCGCAGCCATTTGCTGGACCAGCTGAATGCCACGCGCCTGCTGATCAATGGACATGCGGATGTGAACTTCACGGAGCGCTACAAGCAGCTGGAGCTCAAACCGCAGGATTATCTGTTCAATCAGCGCGCCGTGTTGGCTCACAGCACTCAGCTCGCCACGCCCCCTAGTTTGCCCACTGTGCCCACATACGATCCCGAGGAGAACCGAGTGCTGTTGCCAGTGGCACTGGTGCAGCCAAATTTTCTGTGGTCCCGCTTTTATCCACGTGCGCTGCGCTACGGCAGCTTGGGCACAATTCTTGCGGAGCAGCTGGCCCACAGCTTGGACAGGCGTGCTGGCTGGGATGCGGCAACGCTGGCTGAGTTTGGCAAGCGCAAGGCCTGCTTTAGGCATCAATACGAACGTCTGCGTTTCGCCGGAGAGTATCTGCCATCCACGGAGCTGCAGGATGACAATATTGCGGACAATACGGCCGTGCAGCTGGCATATCTGGGCTACAAAAACTACCTGACAAATCTGGCCTCGAGCGCATTGATTACGGAGCATCTGCCCCAGCTGAGCCACAGTCCCCAGCAGCTGTTCTTCATTAGCTATGCCCAGCTTTGGTGCAACGACGCCAACGAGCAGTTCCGGGATAAGCAATCGCTGCTGGCCGCCGGGACGCCGAATGCGCTGCGCGTTCAGGGAGCGTTGGCCAACTTGGACGCATTTGCCAGTGCCTTTGGCTGTGCCAGCGAGACGCCCATGAATCCCGCACAAAAGTGCCACATGTACGCCCCAAATTTGAATTAATAAAGCCAGCTGGTCAGAAGCGTTTTAATGAATCATTTGATTACAAAACTTAAAGCTAAAGGATTAACATTTCAGAGCTGCGGCTTAGTAAATGGCGCACTTGAACTCCGGATCCATTGGCGCCTGCTGCGAGCAGTTAAAGATCCACGAGAACTCCTGGAAGTTCGACAATGAGCCAATGACACGATACATGCCCGGCGCGTGATTGTCCGCCTTGGCCACAGATGTCTTGAACAAGGACTGGACATCGTCGCACCAGAGCTGGGCGTAGCTCACAAAGAACAGCTGCCGATTGTTCAGCTCGAAGCCGGCCAAAGTCTCCCGCTCCAGCACCTCAGGCGGCTGTTGCTCCAGCCAGCTCTGGTAGGCTTTGTAAGCCAACTTGATGCCCGCATTGTCCGCAATGTTCTCCGATTGTTCCACGCTCTCCGGCAGCTGGGTGCCGCCGTATTTGTAGGCATGGTACTGGGCCTGAAAGCACTTGCGCTTCTCCTCGAACTCATAGCGCGATTTGTCATCCCACCAGGGCGCCAGATTGCCATTGGCATCATACGTGCGCCCTTCATCGTCGAAGCCGTGAATCATCTCGTGCGCCAGCAGATAGCCCAGCGTGCCATATTTCAGGGCCTGCGGGTAGTTCGCGTCCCAGAAGTAGCGCGGCTGCATCAGCGCCACGGGAATGGTTATGTTATTGTCCAGTATGTTGTAGGCGGCCGTAAATCCCAGCACATCGGTTGCCTCCAGTGAGGCGGGCGCACTGTGCAGCCTGTTCAGATTCCATTTGGCCATCGCCTGGAGCACCTGCTGCACGTTGCGCACATAGTTCAGCTTGTCCAGCGCCACGTCGCCGTAGAGCGCCTCGAAATTTTCATGGTCATACGAGTTGATATGTAGCTGCATGCGATCCAGCTTCTCGATGGCCAGTTGGCGTGTCTTGTTCGATATCCAGTCGAGCTTGTCGCCCGCCAGCTGCTGCCGGAACGTCTCGCGTATCTGCTGCCAGACGCTGTGCACCTCAGCCTCGGCCTCGGGGCTGCGGTAGCGCTCATAGATCATGTGATCCGTCAGCTTGGCAAAGTACTTCTTCGTCTGTTCGGTGCACCAGTTGCGCATCTCGCTGGGCTTGCTGTTGATGCGATATGGCTCCAGCAGCTTCCACAGCACATAGTTGCCAATGGTCGGCATGGGTGTGGCCTGGAGCGTGCGCAATGTGTTATTCAAATAGTTTTCGCTGTAGACATATATGTGCTCCGGCACATTATTCTCGCCGAGGACCAGGCCCAGAAACTCCGTAATATTCAATTGCTCCGAATATTTCTCCTCCAGTTCGGATACCGTGTAAAGGGTCATATCATCCCCCAGGCTGGTACCGTGACTAACGCTACCTTTTATCAAATTGCGCTCCAGTTCGTTGATCTCCATTGCGGTTTGCTTGGCCAAGTGCTTGTCAACCGTAAAGTATTGCTGCAGCTCCTCCGCCAGTGATGCATCCTCGATGGAGCTCAGCATGGGTATGGGTTGTTTATGGTCCGGCGGGCCCAGGTAGACCCGATTCACCGTATGGTTCGCAATGTCGGACATAATATCCACCGCAAGAATGATCTGTCTGCCGTATTTGTGCTGTATATCCGCTACGGTGCGCCACCAGCTGAAGTTCGAGGCGTTCCATCGCGGACCCTCGAGCATAGGCAACTCTCCATATTCGCGATAGATGCTCTGTAACGCCAGCCTGTACTGCACATCCTCGCCTTGTACTAACAGGCAGGATTGATAGAAACTCTGCAATTTCTCCTCCAGATTGGTTTTCATCTGTCCGGACTGCAGCAGGCGCTGTAGGCGTCGATCAAAACCCTTCGACATCAGCTGGAATGTATCCGTTATTATGTTGTTCAACAGCTGGGCAGGATTGTGACGATGCCAGTTTCCGCACGCATAGCCATAGAAGTCGTCGCAGGGCGCGATGCGCGTATTCAGCATGCTCTTCATTTCGGCCACCTTGGATTGCCGCATAATCTGCTTCGCATAGTCCGTGGTTAGATCGTCGCGCTCGGGCGTGCCGGCATTCTCCGCCGGCAAGGCCCACGTACTGGCCACCACCAGCCAAAATACAGCCAGCCGCAGAGCGCCGTTCAAGCACCGTCCTGACATGATACTCGCCATCGATTCAACTGAGCTGCTGCTTCAGTCAGTCGCTTTGTCTGGCTGCAATGCCTCACTTATCAGTGGGCTTTGTGTTTTTTTCTGGCCCCGTGCCGCTGGGGTAGGTCAAACTGTTATCGCATGTCTCGAGAGCGAGCTCCAGGCCGAGCAGACTCTTATACGAGCAGGCTAGCCATAACTACACGGGATATATATAGCCGCTTGACAGATCGCGTGTACAACAATTATGCGGCTGGAAAGGCAAATAAATTGTTTGTGCTACAGATGCAAATCTCAAAAACATTTATTTCTTTTATTTATTATTTTAATTGAAAACTAAAAACTATCAACTTGAGTATTTACATAGCTCTGTCTACTGAGGCATTCGGCTCAGATATCATTCAATCAATACTCTAGCCTGGGACTCGCAGCAGATTCCTGTTGCTCAGTGACCTTAATGGCCTCCTACTATTATTAGTATTTATATGCATAGTATTATATTAACTAAAACCATTTAGATGTTTAGTTTGTCAGTCATTTATACATGCACGAACTATGCCCTTTGCCCAGGGCAGGGACTGCGACTCAGGCCCATTTTCCATATTAATTTGTCTTTAAAATTATACCTCAAGGCAATTTAGTTTTTCAGCGATTACTCTAAAGCTTACTTCGCATATATTCAAAACATAATTTCTATTATTTGTATTTACTTTTAGCAGAAATGTGTCCCTTTGTTTTAAAGACATCTTGATAAAAATTTGCGTATAATTTGGTACTCCATTGACTTGCATTGCATTACATTATAACTCTTCATATACCTAATATACTATAAGCAGTATCTGATCAACATTAGGTCACTTTATCCTACATATATCCCATAGAAATAAAGGGTATTTTATTAGCGGCAATCCGAATACAACTATTCTCTCATGTCTTTCGCAAAGGCACCATTTGAAATGACATTTTTGCCTGCCTCAAGGGAGCTCGTTTTCACTTTGACTATGCAATCGATGGCTCATGCTAATCTCTTCTATTTGCAGCAATACCAATATTTTACATACTGGCCATTGTACCGGGTCTGATGCCATGGGACCATGGCTACAAGTTCCTCTCGTTTTGTCACGTATTTGGCTCGGTGGCGCCTTGGTGCGGCAGCTTCGTCTATCATCTGTTCATGAACATTGAGAAGGGCGAGAATGTGTACTATACGCTGCTCAAGCTGGACATGGTCGGCATCTGGGTGAGCCAGAGTTTCGGTAAGTGAGCGTTATCTGAAAAACAAAATATATAAACAAATAAACACGACTCGGAAGCGGGAAGCATAGAAATATTAACATATATTTCAAGTACAGACAGCTTATAAGTAGAGCTTCTAATCAGTTGAAGGACAGCCTCAGTAGATAACGCACTTTTGCATGGGATTCATATGGGCGCCCTGGCGGCACTCGTAGGCCTTGGCGAATGCATCGAAGTTGGCCATAATCGCGTGGAGTCTCACCTCATCCGGCGCATGCTCATCACTAATGGCGATCGTGTGACGCAACTGGGGCAGCAAATCCGAGCACCAAATTTGGCCCAGGCCCAGAAAGAAGAGCTGCTGCGGCGTGTGCGACATGCGAGGCAATGTCTCCGACTCCAGCGATGATTGCCTTAGCCAGTTGAGGTAGGCGGCATGGGCAATACGCACGCCCACATTGTCCGCTATATTCTCGGCCTGCATTTGCATTTTGGTCAGCCTCTGGCCATTGTAGATAAACCGACTGAACTGTTGCACCAGGCACTGTTTCCTCTCCTCGAACTGTCTAGTCGCATTGCGCTCCCACCAGTCGCGCAGATTGCCCTGGCCGTCAAAAGTGCGGGACAGATCGTCGAAGCCGTGGGCCATCTCGTGGGCCAAGGAGAAGCCCACAGTGCCATACTTGAGCGCCATGGGATAGACCTCGTCAAAGAAGTATCGATGCTGCATATAGCTGGCCGGTATCACAACACGATTAAACTCTGGCACATAAAAGGGCGAGGTATTGATGCCATCATAATTATTAAGATTGGGTGCCCGTTGCAGCTGGTCGCGCAAATGCTGGGCGCGCAGCTCCAGCAGCCGTTGCACGTTGCCAAAGTAGTCGGCATTGCTAATCACCAGACCGCCATAGTATTCCTCAAAGTCGTGCGTCTCTGCGCCGAGTATGTGAAAACTCATGGCCTTCAGCTTGGCGAGGGCTTCATTGAGGGTCAGTTCGCTTAGCCAATTGGTGCTGGGCGCGCGCAGCATATCGCCAAAGGCAACTTTCAGCTCCTGCCACAGCTGTCGCAGATGGCCGGGTATATGCGGATTCTGTTTCTCGAGCGACCGATATACCATGTGATCCACAAAGTCGGTGAACAGCAGCGTCGTTTTCTCCGCGCACAGCTCGTGCTGCTTCTCTGCCGTTGCAGCCGGCTCCATGTCGTAGTCGCCAAGCAGCGTGGAGAGCATATAGTTGGCCAGCGCGCGCTTGGGCGTGCGGGCCAATACCTTTTTCACTTGCCACAGATAGCTCTCGACATACTCGTAGACGGGCAGCAGATAGTCGTGATTGAGCCAGATTTGCACAAAACGCGTGACATTCAGGTCGGGGCCATAGCTTTGGCTCATTTCGTCCAACATGCGCAAGCGATTCATCTGGCTCGGCGGCAGCTCCTCCTGTGGCTCAATGATGCCGCGTGCCAGCTCCATGTTGATACTGGCTATTTCGGCGGCCGTTTCACGGGCACGCACCTCGCCCAAGCCAAGCATCTGCTGCAGATTGTGCTTCAGTTTCAGCTGGCTGCTCAGGTGTAGCGCTATGGCCTTGTTGCTAACCAGGTCATCCCGTTGACCCAGATACAAACGATTTAGCTGACTGTTAGTCAGTCCCGGAGCGACACGCACGCTGAGCAGCGTTTCCTTGCCGAATCGGTTCATCAGGCGCGCCATCATTTCAATTGGCTCGAACTTGGACTCATCCCAGGCGCTGCCCTCGAGCGCGGGCAGACCCCCAAACTCTTTTAATATGCCGAGCAGGTGTGGACGCTGCTTCAGCTCCATTGTGGTGGTATTCAGGCAGGACTCGTAGAAATACTTAACACGCGTTTCAGTGGGACTGTCGGTGCTCAGCTTTGGCTGCCTGAACAGCTGACGTAGGCGACGCTGATAGCCAGCGTTGAGCTCCTCGAAGAAGTCCGTGCTGATTGTTTCCTGCGTGGCCGGATTGATCCTGGCAAAGTTGCCGCACGCATAGCCATAGAAATCATCGCACGGCCGCACGCTGCCATTTATGTAGGAGCGCATGCCGGCGGACTTGGCCTGCCGCATGATCTCATGCGTCAATGGTGTGTTGATATTCAGGCCCTCGAATACGCCAGCGTAAACAGCGTCTGGCACAGACAGCAGCCAGCAGCCGATAGCCCAAATGCTGACGGAAGCGGATACAGCTCTCATCTTGTGCGTTGTGTCACGCGCGATTGTCGTTCCCCAACTGAGCTCCAGCTGAGCTGGCGCTGCGCCTTATCACTGATTAGTTGCCCAAAACAGGTGTCATCGGCAGCAGCAACGATGTCGTCTTCGGCTTGGACATCTCATGTCTCTCAAGCAATTCTTGCTCTCTTTCTCTCTCTCTCTCCCATTCCCCCTCTCTTTCTCTCTCTCTATCACACTCTCTTGCAGGTGCGTTGCCGTTGGTTACGGCGACGACGCTGTGCTTTTCTCCAGTTCTTAAGTGGTTCATTATTACCTCTTACTGTCTGCTCTCGCTGTGGGGTCTGTACAAGGTAAGATATTACTTGGAAACTATTAGTATATGCAGTTTTTCTAAGCAGCTTTTATTATTATTTTATTTACGGACATAAATATGCATTATAATAAACGTATTAGTATAGCCTTACAGAACTGTGTCGCCTGACAGTTCCCACTATTGTATTATTCTCTGCATATCGTGCTCTACATATTTTGTAACCTCTAGTAATTTCCTATATAAGCCAGCTTTACAGATCCCATTTTTATTTGAATCGAAACTTACATTTGATACCAGGCTCTGAATAATAGTCTTTCTTTACAATTCCCACTTATATATATGTATACGTAAGATTTTGATTTCATGCTTTACATATATTGATACCTTTATTAAGCCGATTTATTTTTGTAGTCCCCTCGATTGGTTTTCTCTACTTATATTAAAACTTACACTTGATCCCTACATTAGGCAGCTTTACCTAATGGTAAAGCCTACCTAAGAGTTCCCACTATTTTATTATTCCCTATATACAGTATTCTACATATTTCGAAGCTTACGTTAGATTCTCATATGTGCCAGCTATTCAAACGCATTTTAACATTAAACACCATTATTTTAATCCATATATAACATACTCTTTATATTTTGAATCTCACATTTAATAAAGCTTTCGTAACAGTTCCCACTTTTATGGAAGTAGTATGTTTTGCTATTCAAATGTGATCCTTATATGTATTTAACAGGCGCTGACCGCCAGCTCACCGTGGCAGAGGCGTCTCTGCTTCGCGCTGCCCTTTGCCATGCGCTCCGTGCTGACCTTTCTGCGCATCCAAGGAATGGTGGGCGGCAGTCACATGGCCCTTTCCCATGTCTATCTGCAGGTGCGTATGATAAGGCATTCCAATTGACTAACTTGCTATTTTTTACCAATCATTTTCGGCTGGCTTGTGGGCATACTTAGGTTGAAGTTGTAAGTTGAATTTTCATATATTCTACACCTACATATGCATATGGACCAAGTGTAAGACTAGGCCGTATGCAACCGATATGATTGGTGTAAATTAAACACCAGCCAAAAAAAAAAAGAACTCCCCAAAAATATCATTAATTTTATCTTTGCTAATACAAGACTCGTACATTTACAGGATGGCGTTTCAATATTAGGCGGCGCTATTGGTGCCATGCGCATACCCGAAAAGTGGTTTCCGGGTCTGGTCGATTTCTATCTGAACTCGCACAACATTATGCATGTGCTGGTCGTGGTGGCTGTGTACTCCATGCACAAGGTGCTCTCAATCTGATGTAAATATATATGTTTTGACTACAGCCTCTTGAGTATTGCAGGCCACAATCAAGGACTTTGAGTGGATGTCTACTCAGACCTGCAATTCGCTGGCCAATGCTACCGAACCGTCGCTGGCCCATATGGAACTATGACCCGCTTACTGGCTGCTACTGATCCTGCTCCTCACACTGCTGCTCTTGATAAAGCCTCAACCACGACGCGCCCCAATCAACTGGATAATGGAAAAGGAGCATTCGCGGGCTGACTAGACAAAACCCAAAGAATTAAGGAGGGATACAAATAAAGCAAAGAAAATGCTTCTCGAATATACCGTGTATAAATGAGCGCGTGCTGTAACAGTAACAATATGAATAAGTTAATAGTTAATAGTGAATATATGTACATATGTATATGTATAATTAGTACATACTTCGACTGTGGTATTTAGCATTAAGGTGACTATGAAATATGAATGAAATGAATTACAAAGCGCTTTCAATTATAACTTCTATGCGCTGCTCTTATGCAAAGCCTCTGAGTACTATATGAACGATAATTTCAATGATGTTGATACATATGTACCTCAATATGCTTACAACCAAAAAAACAAAAACAAAAACATCTAATTTTCAAATACTTATATAACTTTGTACCTCGTCGACTATAAAAAAAAAACGAAAGTTAGACATTAAGAAACTTACCGTTAAACTTATAACAAAATTCTTCCTAGTTGAATTACTATGATATGAAATGTCTTTATTTGAGAAAAAAAAAAATACACTAATGCGTCTTTTGTGCAATTAGTTAGATGTAACAATTGGACAAGTGTGAACAAAATTTTCAAGCTAATCGCTGCTGAATCGAATTAGTAAAACTTCCTAATTTTCAGCACTCCTTACCTAGCAAATAATAAAACTCAAAAAATGATATTTGATTAACTTTCCCTAGGTTTTAAGAGGCAGATGTAGAATAATAAAATTATAATACGGCAAAGTATTTGAATCCAACAGATGGAACAATTATGAGTAATTAGCGTTTAGTAGTTTCAATAATTTACACCACACCCTTTAAAGAGAAAGCAAATATAATAAATGAAACAAAAGCTAACAATATTAGATGAACAAAAGCAATAAAACTTGAAAGTTAAATGCTTGTAACAAGTTGAAACTCTATTGTAAGACGCAATTATAGCATTAATATTATAGATACATATATATATGTATATATGATTTTCCGAGAACGTTAATAAACCGTAAACGCGTACAAAAAGGAGAATTGAATTGCAATATACAACTGCAGAATTTTTATTGAACACTTCCATTTCGAACGTCTGTTACGCTATAAGCATTGTTTAAAAAATATTTAAATGCCGCGCCTTTCAGCACTAAGGAGCTAACCACTTAAGTGTTGTTAAGCGCTGTTAGTATTTTGTTGGTTTACAGATATACTGAAGCTCAACTAAGACGTGATTAAACAAATAAACGTAGCTTCTATGCTTTATTGTGTCATAAATTATGACATATTTTTTCCCGCCAAAATTAATGGAGAAAAAATACTAAACGCAGTGCGACCGTATCATTTGCAGATTATTGAAAAACATCAAGTTGGCAGCACTATTTCGCTTCGAGTTACATTGTAATTGTTCTTTTGCGTTTTGCTCACAGTTGTTACTAATTATATTATATTAATAGCGAAAAGGAACGTGATTAAAGCATGAGCACGCAAGTAGCAGTGGCCGAGCCAACAGGCACAAAGTCGGCCAATTTCTTTGCGCTGCAGGCTGCCTTCGAGGTGAGAATCCAAAATTCTGGAACTGCTGCTGCCTTGAGGCGACACACCGGTAAATGTATTTCAAATGCTTACAGGCTGCCCTGGACCAGGCGATTGCCGAGCACAATGTGGAACTGTTGACTAAAGAGTACCACAGCTTTCGTGCCAATTCCGAGCACGACAAACGCTCACCCATGGACCAGGCGTTTCGGGAGGTTCTTATGAAGCGACTGAGCGACGATGTTGAACGCATTGGAGCGCTTGTGCGGCTATCTGTCGACGCAGCTCGTGCCGAGATCGTTTCGAATACAATACCAGTTGTGCTGCTAGGGGATACCTTTGATGTGGTTACGCTGAACAAGTGCGAGCTGATTTTCAATTTTGTGGAGGAGCTGGTGGAGGTTTGGAAGGAGGAGATATTCTTTGCCTCCTGCAAGAACAATTTGCTTCGCATGTGCAACGATCTTTTGAGGCGTTTGTCCCGCACACAGAACACCGTGTTCTGTGGACGCATTTTGCTCTTTCTCTCCAAGTTTTTTCCATTCTCGGAGCGCTCCGGCTTGAACATCGTATCCGAGTTTAATTTAGATAACTTTACTGAGTATGGGCTGGACAGCAAGGACCATGACGACATTGAAAACAAAGAGCTAGAAGATACGGCCGAGGATATACCGCTAAAGATTGACTACGATTTGTATTGCAAGTTCTGGTCGTTGCAGGATTTCTTTCGCAATCCCAATCAATGCTACAGTAAAGCGCAGTGGAAGATGTTTCAAATGGTAAATCATTGAATAGCTGCCTGCTTCAGTAGAATAATTTGTTTTCTGCTTTACCTACAGCACGCGGAGACCATACTACAGTCATTCTCGAGCTTCAAATTGGAAGATGTCCGTCCGAACAGTGACACAAATGGACACAGCGACTCGTGTCCACAATTGATGGATGTGGACATGGACGATGCTACGATTGATGCCGCTGTGTCGGTTGCCATGCACAAGGAAACCAACTTCTTTGCCAAGTTCTTGACCAATCCAAAGCTGCTCGCACTCCAACTATCCGACTCAAATTTCCGGCGCGCCGTGCTAGTGCAATTCCTCATACTCTTCCAATACTTACAGGTCAGCGTCAAGTTTAAGATGTAAGTTACCAATAGCTGCTTTAGAAATTAAACTTGCACTCATTAAGAGCTGTACTTTGTTCTCAGTGACTCCTACACCCTGACTAGTGCGCAGTCCGATTTCATCAAGGAAACAGAGCAGCGCGTTTACAAACTGCTGGAGGAGACGCCACCCAATGGCAGACGCTTCGCGCGCACTGTGCAGCATATGCTGCAACGCGAGGAGATGTGGAACAATTGGAAAAACGATGGCTGCAAAGAGTTTAAAAAACCCGAGGAGCCGGAGCCCAGCGAAGATGACGCCAAGCCCTCACCTCCAAAACGTTCCAGGCGGCCATTGGGCGATTGTCTTCGCGATGCTGCACGCAATGGCAAGTTCTTCCTCGGCAAGTGAGTAACACTATTTCGTGTTCTGCCCCTAACAAATATATAACCAGTCATAATTTCTTAGCGATAATCTGACGCGCCTGTGGAACTACTCGCCCGACAATCTGCAGGCCTGCAAGAGCGAGCAGCGTAACTTTCTGCCCCTGCTGGAAACATATTTGGAGACGCCGCATGACAAAACCGATCCTGCCTTCGAGTGGCGTGCTTTGCGCCTGTTAGCTCGCCAGACGCCGCACTTCTTTACGTTCGTGTCACAGCCATCGTGTAAGATATCCGACTATTTGGACGTGGTGCGCAAGCGCTTGACGCGCGAAAAGGAGCTGGTTAAGCAGACAAGCACAGCAACTGCGAATGCGTCGGAGCATAATAATGGATTGGCTATTAGCAGCGCACCCTCAGAGCAGGAGCATGAGGCATCAGTTGCCTTGCAGGAAACGGAGCCCGAGCAAGACTTGGAAGTCGAGGACTCTGAGCCTGTGGTGGAGGAAGTGGACGAGACGCCCGCGCATGAAAAACCGCTAATGGTTACTAGCGCCCACATCGAAGAGATAACACCATTAATAGGCGAGCCGTGGATGAAGGTGGGCAAAAAGATTGGCTTCAGCAATGACGAACTGCTCTTCTTTCAAATGGAGAATCCAACGCCTGGCGTGGCATGTATGAAAATGTTAACCAATTGGATCTCAGACGATGACGATGCCACGCTGGAGAACTGGGCCTACATGCTGGAAGGCTTGGAGATGCACAAGGCGGCCGATGCCGTCAAGGCGATCATTGAGCGCGAAAAGACAAGCAACACGCAGCCACAGACCCTATCCCAGCAGGATGCGAACAGCAACGATGTGGAAATACTGTCTGACTAGCACAGGGAAAGGCGTTCTTTACTTTAATGCTGTTATAATATATTCATCAAATCCTTTATCACATGTAATAAACGGGCATGTCCCAATTCCCAATTCAAGTTAGCGTTTCTTCGCTGCCTGCTGTGTGCTGTTCCGGCGTGGCTTGTTGTGTATCATTGTGGCACAGCGTGGAATGTGCCGCTCGGCGGCCTGCTGATTGAAGCGCCTGCCGCAATGCGGGCACTGTATATAATCCGGATTCTCTGATGGCGGCGGCGGTGGCAAATCACTCAGTTTGCCGCCGCGAGCCAAATGGGCCTGAACCTTCTTGGCAGCTCGTATGGCCTCAATGAATTCCTCGTGCTTCTTGCGCCAGTTACTCTTCTTGACACCTGTTTTCAGACCCTGCTGCTGTGCGGCACTGCTATATGCGGACTGTACGCGGCTCAAGCCGGGCTTCTGTGCCTGCTTGCTAAACTTCTCAGTGTCGGTGCCCTTGACACGCTGCTTCGAGGCATCGAATATCTTGCGCTTGGTGGTCATGGTGCGCTGGCACACTTCCTCGTGCTTAGCCAAACGGTCAGTGTTAAAGTGTCGGCCGCAAAAGCGACAACTTTTGGTGCCCTCCGGCGGTTGTGTGTCCTGGAATAGTACATGAGCGACATAAGTAAATCAAAGCTTGGATTCGGGCACTCACCATTTGAATTTTGGTAACTGGAGATTTTGGATTGACCTATTTCCGTTTATACATGATTTAAATGATTGTTAACTCTGAATATTTGAACTCAGCCAAGTTGATGCGACTTACCTGACGCGCCTTTGGCGGTGAAACGCGGCCTCTTTCTGACAATGGAGCTCGTACGATCGGCGAACGAGCAGCTGTCGTTGCCGGCGTGACGGCTGGTTTCATTGTCCTGGCTCTGGCGCTGCTTGGTGGCGAGGAAGTTGGGCGCACTGCAGTCTCTCTCTCCATTTTGGGTGGAGTCTTGCGTGTTATCACTGGCTTCAGGCGATTGGCATTTGTCGCCGTGCCCGCTGCATTGTATTTGCTGCCGCTGTTGTTGTTGCTATCACTGATCAGATGACGGCCAGAGACTGGCTTCTCCTTGAGGCTCATTGTGGAAATACCCTTGGTGAGCTGCTGCTGCTGTTGGGCGTGTGAACGTGTTTCGCTAATGGGCTTGAGCGGATTGCTGCGATCAATGCCGGCGCCACGACGACGCTCGTCAAACATCTGACGCACCTTGCCATTGCCTATGAGCCGGCTGGAGGCGGCTCTGGGCGAAGCAGCCGCAGCTTGGTTAAGCTCTAGACGTCGCTGCTCCTGTTCCACCTGTGTCTTCTGTTGGAAGCGCATCTGAAATAAATTAATTGGAATTTGAGAGTGGTAATCTTGACACAGCTAATCAGCCGCATAATCTGCACAATCGGCTCTTACGGGCGCCGAATTGTTGTTATCGCCGTGGCTGGGCGGCAGTTGGCTAAGCGCCTCCATCAGCCGCCTGGCCGCCCACGATTCGTTTAGCTTAAGCGGCATTATATGATCATGCGTCGAGTCCGGCTCCAAGTCGTAGTAGGCATCGTTTTCGTCCTCGTCCGTTAGCGACATGTTCATGTTCGTGCGAAGCGCGCGTGTCGACTAAAACGTACGTGGAACTGGACATTAGCATGTCCTTTTCCCCCGTGTGGTAATTAAGTGAATGTGTGCTTGTATTTGTAGGTGGTAGGTTTGTCTATTCTACGCCCCACTGACCGAACGATGAGCCATACCCACCCGTCTGCCGCCCCGTCTGCCCCGCTCTGTCAACACCAGCCACAAGCCAAATCTGTGCCCACTTACATGCCGCCAGTACATAAAACCGCGTGCCACCCGACCCGCTTGGACGAAGCTAACCCTGGCCGCCGTCTTAGCTGGCTTGGCGAAATAGTTGGCGGTCGCGGGCATGCTCCTCTCCAAAAACTCAATCACTGTATTTGCTGTGGCCAGCCATGGCCAGTGTGGACAAAGGCGCTCGACGTAGCACAAGTTGAAGAAATTGAATTTTATTTTTTTTTTGATCGAGCAGTTGACAAACCAACGTGACTGCCTCTTGCTGTGCCTTTATTGTTGTTGCAACAACAAGGTTGTTGTTGCTATTGCTGCTGCATGCCAATAACAAAAATCAATGGCTGCAACACGACCCAACGGGTTGCCATGGAGCGGGGCGGCACACAGACTAACAACAAAAACAGTCCACAATGGCAGAGAAAGAGAGAGAAAAGAGTACAGAGAAACCATGCAACATTTGTTGCATATCGACTAAGAGACGAGCAGCCCCTAAAGGTGACAAAACTCAGGGGTGTGTCCCGTCTCAAAGGATTGTGGCCCGACACCTGATGCCGCCCCAAATCAGCGATATAAATCTAGTGCAACAATTTCCGAGAATGTTTACTTCAGGTTTCGTTTAAGTGTGTGTGCGTGCTTATGGGTGGGGTTGTGTGTCTGAGGGGGTGTACAAGTGTGTGTGTGTGTGTGTGCGTGGGTGTTCTGTGTTAGTTCTGCGTGTGCTTGTGCTGATAATCAACTACCTATTTGACAGCGGCATATGATTATATAGGGTATTCGAATATTAAGTATACGTCAAGATATATGTATATATATGTATATATATATAAACTGGCCGACTTTATCGAGCAAATAGGCTTTTAATCAGAGGCCAAAAACATTAATTAAGTTAATTTCTCTACTAAGCGGCACACATTTATTCATACATCATTTTGTTTTTAAAATCAACATACGAATTTTTGAAAACATCAAGATTTTAGTTTGTTTAATTGGTCGTTAAATTACTAAAGTTAAAGTAGTTAAATGAGCGGTGTAAATAATATAATTAGCTTAGATAAGCGAAATGTCAAAGCTGTCAACTGGGCAAGGTTTCTGTCACACAATCATTAATAATAATCTATAGCTTAGCATAAATGTAATAAATATGTTTTGTTTAATAATTTAATTCGTATACTTTGCATGTCCTGTGCAGGAAATTATGTTTAAAAGCTCTATTAAGGCATTTTTTTGTTATTTTATACTTATTGGCCGGGCGTTTGCGCTCAAGAGTTCCCATTAGCCAACTATTAGCTAAGAGCTGAAATTAATTGGCTGACATGCTGCTGGGCTAATGATGAGCCAAGTCTAGACAAGAGCATCAAACATGAAGTCGTGCCCATATATGGAGCGCTACGGAAACTCGAGCTGTCTGTCAGCTGATTGCCAAAAATGGGCCAGACCATAATTAATGGCCAAGCGGACCATTGGCCAGAGCCAAGAGACGCCTTTCGTGCGCTCGGCACGCTTCCTGTCAGACGCAAAGCGAACTTACCCGCATTTGTGCCAGCCTTGAGGTTGGGCAATCAGCGGCATCTTGTGACGCCATTACCAAATAAAGTTCGCTCTCGCAAAATCGAGTCCCAGTCTCTGAGCTGTGTGGTGTGGGCAGCAGTCAGAAATGGCGATGACGATGACGCGGCACAGCTGCTTGGCAAGTGTAGACCCGGCTTAGATTCTCCGATGACTCATGCACACAGTCGGCTAAAAGTTTCGCTTTTCGATGTGCCTAAAAATAGCTGCAAAAAAACAAAACAAAAACAAAAACAAATCAAATCGTAGAGCGTTTTGAGTAACAAGCGGCTTTGAATGTCGCCAGGAGGCGTGAATGGAAACAGGGCGCAAATTGTTGCTCAACATGTCGTGTGGGCGCCATCTGGAAGTCGAAGATCAGGTCGAGATCGAAGTTGAAGCCGTACCCAGTTGCTAGCAGCACTGGGAGCCGTGGGCCGTGGGCCGTGGGCCGTGGACCGTCTGCAACATTCAGTTGCTCCAAAAATGGGCAGCTCAATGAGCAAACTAATTGAATTGGATTTTATTCGCTTACCGAATTGAGTGAACTGCGCTTAACACCAGCAGACCTAATACATATACCTATGTATGTATGTATATATATATATATATATATATATATGTATGAATAGTAGATATATATATATGTATATATATATGTAATGTAAGTGCGTATGTGAGTGCCTAGTGTGAGTGCATAAGTGATATTGGATACAATTTATATATACGTTTTGCCTAACGAATTACTAGTAAGATCGTGGATTAGCTCTCAAAATATAATCATATACTAAACTAAATACGTCTCTGTTTGTTTTCGAATTTAATTTTGTAACATTTTTGTGATGAAGCTGTCATCCATACGAATTCCGAATTTCAATTGGCAAGTCAGAGCCAACTAATTTGTTAAAACAATTGCGAAAATTATTTATTGGCACGTTTTCCATCATGAAATCGAAATTTGAAAGTACAAATATATGAAAAGCTGCAGAAGCTGAAAAGTTTTGATTTATTTCAAATATCTCGATGCCAATAGTCTCTAAAACCTAAACTTACAATGTACTATTATTATATTTTATTTAAGGCAAGAGTTTCTACGCAGTTCGTTTATATTCGGGCTTAGGGTATTGAGCAGTCGGTGTTGTCGTCGCACAGCAAGCACACAAAGCAATTAATTTATGTTTATTTTTTGGCACACGTTTGAATCTAACTGTTTGCGTGTGTGTGTGTGTGTGTGCGTACATATCTGCGTATGTGTGCGTGTGTGACTTGAGGTGTTTTGTGTGTTGCTTTTGGCTGCGCCAAGTGCTTTGATTTGCATAACTTGGAAGCTAAGCAACTTACCAGCTATGCGCCGACTGTGATTGAGAATTGTTTGCCAGAGGATGAAGAGGGAGGGGGCGAGCACATACACATACACACACACCAGCTGAAACAGGCAACGGGCTGAGCCTGCTGGTCGATCCACGGCAAATGGCAGCAGAGTTTATTGACACACTTGAACGTTTGTTGAATTTTAAAGCACACGGCTCAAAGTGGGGCACAGGACAGCGCCAGTTGGTCAAAACTGACAACGGGCCGCAATTACGCATACGTCGCGTGCGCCCGAGCCAAAGTAGAGGTAAAGGTGGCTAAACAAATGTCTGTGGCAGCCGTGACTCGGCTTGGACTGTTTACTTAGAAGTATGCCCGCTGACTGAGACAAGATTGCGGCCGCACACAAAGCCAGCTAAACGGCCAGCCGAACAAGTTGTGAGCAGCCGCAGCTGGCAGAGAAAGAGACAGCGACAGCGACAGAGACTAAGGTACTGGCAGCGGCAGCGACGGCGACTGGGGCAGAGGCAGAGGCAGAGGCAACGCAGTCGCTGACAGTGCACCGATCAGTCGATGACGATGTGAATGACGCGACAATATGAATGTATATGCCGTATCGAGGGGGCGTGGCACTCGATGAATTAGTTTAAAAAAGGAAGAGAGAAAGAAATAAAACGAAATGTGCGTGCTTTTGTTCCACAAATATATTTGTATATTTATCGCTCGCAATTGTAGTTGTTGTTGTTCTTCATTTGATTCTTTTTCGAACTTATCAACGTTTACACAAGTTTGCTTTCGGTTTCGGTTTCAGCTTCAACTCTTAATCAACTTTTCGCTCGGATCGCAAGACTCACGCAGTGTCAGAGTACATTTTAAGAAGTTTGTCTCAACCAACCAAAACCATCATTAATCATATTTGACTTGAGTTACCAATGTATGTATACCCTTACCCCTGCAGAGGGTCAGCTGATTTGTTCAGCGACCTGGCACAGTCAACAAAACAAAAGCAAATATTTTGTTAAATTTGTTGAATAATTTTAGAAAAAAAAAGAAACCTTTGAAAATTCATATTAATAGTCATATATATGTGCACTCTGCAAGAGTATTCAAAGTTGGTTAGTGAAAGTTTGGCTTTCATGCAATGTGTGTTGCTCACATTGCGTTTCTTTGCTCATCATTTGTTTATATAACAATTATTATTCATTACTTTTCATTTGCTTAGGTTTTACTGCGGTTTTGAAACCTAATAAGTGCGCGCCTTGCCTTGTGTTTCATCTTTCATGTTGTTTTCTATTTAATCAAAGTTTGAGCGAATTATTATCATGTTTTTCTCTTTCGACAATTTCGCATATATCGTGTACATTTACTTCATCGAATGCGTGTGCACTCTTCGTGATATTGAGTAATCGCTTGATAACCTTTCCAAAATATATATTTCACCCAAATTTGAGCTAGTGAATATTCGTTCGTTTGCCATAGCTTTAAAGTGCCTTTTGTTCTTTTCCGGTTTGTGGCTCATGAAATATTTTGTTGGAATCTTTTTTTTTGTTTTTTTCTGCGTACATCTAAATATATATTCATATACATATAAGTATATGATTAAAAATATATAGACACCGTGCATGTAAATACATACATATTTAGTAGATTATTGATTACCTTTGCCATAGTTAAATCAGATTTGCAATTATGCCAAACAACTCTCATGGAAAACAAGACAATTAACACACATATATACTATATCTGTGTACGTACATATTTCCATTTGTGTATAAGCATAAGGGGGATGTCTGGAGAGTTAGCAGTAAAGTCAATCGATTTGGTATGGATATATTTTCTGCATATTGTGTATATGTTGCTTACATTGACTGGTGCTGCATACAAATATATGTGTGTATATATTTATATTTGCATTTTGCCAAAAATCAAATACAAAGTTTACAGCGATTACAAATACGAATACAATTACAAATACACACATAGCATTCGAAGTCCCTACAATACACATACGAGTTCGGGTACATTTAACAATGACACGGCAACTTGAACATCAAAATCAACAGCAACAGCAACAGTAACGGCAACATTTACAGCAACGGCACTGGGAGCTGACAGCTGACAATAAACAACAATTACTTATTATTAATTCTATGTACTAGGCGAATGCGGCGCAGGCCTAGGCGTCGTATACGTAATGCATTCGCAAAAACTGCCCAAAATGTTGCCCAGCCAATTGACTTTGCAAATTTCATTGCCTTTCATTTGCCTTTTCTAAAATATATATTAAATATTTATAATCTTACACAGTTGAACTATGCGAAGTCGCACGGCTAAATACGCGGCAGAATTACAAATTATGATTTTGGCCTTTCAAAAAAATTTGAAAATGCATATTTAATGTGTACAAGTGATCTACAAAAACGTACATTTATCAAAGTATAAATGTTATTGGTTTATCTTTTACTTGTTGAATTCTTGCATATTAATAAAGATTATAAAATAAATGAATAGCGGAGGACTAAAGTACATTGTGTATGTACATATGTAGTACCGTGTGTGTACTATGATTAAAACCTGACTATTGAACTTTTCAATATTCGGCTGTTGTTCGCTTTAGTCATGGAGTTCTTGTGCGATGCTCGCGGCTACTTAACGATTCCTTAGTTCCTAGTACAGTTGCCACAAAAAACTCCAACGTCCCGATTTCAATTTCGATTTCATGAATCGATTTCGATTTCGATAACTATTACTATTCTAATACGATTTTACTAACCAAACGCAATTCGACGCAAAGCTTATTTAACTTTTCAATATGTTTAACTTCATTCTTAATATCCGTGATTGTCGAAGTTGTTTTTTGTTTGTGTTTACTTTTTTTTGTTTTTTTTTTGTTTATTATTATTATTCATTATGGTATTCATATTTATTTATAAATTGAACAACTCATTCAATTTGTTGTCGCTCTTTGTTCCTGCTACGCTTCATTCGACAATTACATTCAATAACATATCGTCTATTTGGGCTACACTTCAGACTACAAGATAATGCTGACGATAAACTCGTACGTTCGCCTGCCTATAAGCACATCGCTCAGCTGTCGCTGATTTTAACTACTTATTAAGATACTTTTCTAAACATTTTAAAGCCAACATTCAATGCGCTCTAATTTAACGTCTATACGACAATTGCTTAAGTCTTTTAGTCTACATTCTTTTATAGGGGTTGTTCCGTTTTTCGGTTTTTTTCTTACATCCATTTAACATTTATATATAATTCGGGGTATACATATATCGATCTGTGTGTGTGTGATAAGTGTGCAAGGGTGTTTAACAGTAGCTTCATTAACTAAGGCTGCAGGGGCTCAGGTTTTGGTTTCAGTTTTTGTGTATTTTTAGATATCGATATCGATGTCGATATTAATATCGCTTTCGATTTTCGGTTTTTATCGACTATTCAATTGTTAAACACATATACATATATATATATATATATATATAGTTAAGTATACATGCACATACTAGGCATTAGCTACCGCTAGTATACAAGTACACACACTTATTTTGGGCTATATTTAGGGGCATACGATGTTACGTACTGTCGTCATATGGTATGCGGAGAGGCAAGATATTTCTTGTTACCCGTTTTTTTTTCAAAGATTTTTTTGTTTTTGTTATTTTAGTGTTTTTGCAACATTTTGAAAACCTGCACGTTATTTTTGTCTAAGTTACTTTCTTTGGTTTTCAACAATTCTTTAAGATATTCTTTGTCTTTCAAGACATTTAAGACTTATTCTAACATTAGATTTCTAAACATTGTTGTTCAAGGTTTTAGTAGCGGCGTTTTTTGTGCATTTGTGCACAAAAATGTTCAAAATTTTCAAATTCAAATGCGAACTTTAATGTTGCTCTTGTTCAAATAAACAGATCGCAAATGTCTGATGAGCTTGATAAAATGGCCGTTTCAATAAGCATTAATATTTGGAATGCAGGCTCCTGATATCATTTATAATTAATAAATTTTAGTTTAGAAATTTAGAAATTTAAAATTTAGATGCCATAATGTTATTTGAATCATTGCATTCTCTAAAAGTCGGATAGTTTCCCAAAAGAGTTAAATAATTTTCAGGTGCATTCATTCTAAACATTAAAGCTTATTCAACGCTTCTTGCGTCCGATAAACGGTGGATAATTGATGCAGTTGCTGCATTAAGCCCTATGTATAAATACATACGATTTGTAACTGATTTGGTTTTCTTAGTATAATAAATATTTGCGGTTAATGTACGTTGTTTATTTCATAAACTTTACTTTATCAGTACGGGTGGGTTTTTGTGTATTTCAGTTTCTAGAAACTGACCTGTCTTGGTGTGCTTGGGGCTTACCGATGCGCATTATAAATAGGCTGAGCTATGTATATTCAAGTGTATTTGTTATTAACCTGGTTTTCCTCTTGCTTGGTTTGGGCCATTCTCTCTCTCCCTCTCGCACTCAATGGCAAAACACCTCGTCACCTCAACTACATACTAATCTATAAAAATGCCGTATGTGAACATAGCCAGCATGTTCTACACAATTACAAATGACAATTTATCAACTTCGATTAATTGGCTGCGCTATAAAATTGTTTAAAAATTGCACACGCTACAATTGCGATCGTCGGCATCGAAAATGTTCGGGGGGAATTTGTTATAAAATTCATAAAAAGATGCTTAATACCATAATAATTTGTTGTTGTCCCTTACTATGCTAAATATGTTGCCTGCTTTTAGGTGCACGTCAAGACATTTTTGTTTGTAGTACATTAAATTCTTGCTGTCGTTCTGTGGACGTTGCTGTGCATTTAAGTGTATAGGTGAGTGTGAGTGTGAGTGTGAGTGTGAGTGTGTGTGCGAAGGTGTGTGTAATGTGCAGTTTATTGGATATACATTATTTGCGATAAATTGTCATCTCTGGAATTAATTCAATGTGTTACACTCGCATGTTGCAGCTTAACTTCTTAATTGGATTCTATACGTAATTGGCACACTAACAACAAACACGTACACAGACAGAAACACCAAACACAATTAAAAATACAAAACACGCATGCATCAACACAAACATTCAGATTCTCGATACACAGCATGCATGCAGCTGCACCATGATGCGTATACTCAACGTGACTTTGCCTCCCTCCACGCATGAATACGTATAGAAATGTGTCTGCATGTGTGTGTGTGTGTGCGTGTGTGTATGTGTGTGCATGCATGAAGAGCTATGTGCTACTTGCAGAGCCTGACACAAAAGGACAACTACGACAGCGTTAATCACTAATTTCTTCGAACTGTTTTGTTTTTGCAACAATATGCAATACTTTTTGTTTTTGCTAGAATTTTGTGTTCATTCTTAATCCGCCGCGCGCGTTTTTGGGTGGGTTCGACTGCTGTACTGCGTGTGAGTATTTGAGTGAGGTGGGAGCTTATGGTTTCTGAATTTAAAATATGAAATCGCCACAGTCCATGGCATAGTCGAAGTCCTCGCCGCCGACATCATCGATGCCCGTGGAGTGAAAATCAAAGCCGCCAATGTCCGTGTGGTAGACGGCGCCACTGCACGAATTTTCGATTAGATTGGTGCAGTGAGTTGTTGGCAGTGCATGGAGGGTGAATGTGTCCTCGCACTGCGACCAGGTGAGACCGCCACTCCAGACGCCATTGGGCAGCGTGGCCCAGCCCCAGCCATGACCCCAGGGCAGAGCACAGGCGAGGGACGCCTTGGAGTCCGCCTTCTTGCTCAGTATGGCCACGGCGGCATCGCTCTTGATCAATGGATTCTGATTGTACAGCGTGCGCTGTGTGGTCAAAGCCGCCGAGGAGCTGCGATGATGTCTGCTGGTGCTATGAGCCGCCGACTTGCGCTTCTTTACCTCCGAGTTGGTGGCCGCTGTTGTGGTGGGCAACACATATGATAATATGAAAGGAGTCCCGCAAGGGTCTCATACTCACGTCTTATACGCACAAGCGGACGCCGCAATACATTCATTAGTTGCGGCTTATCCACGACCAATTCGATTTGCGGCGGCGGCGGCAAAGTTTTAGTTATGGCGTCTATCCAGTCGCTTACCTCGTTCTCAGACTTGGCCAGCATCCAGTAGACCTTGGAGCGCTTGCGACGTGACCCAAGCGCAATTAGCTGTGACACGCTGACGCCATCAGGCAATGGGGGACGGCGCGGTATCTGGCCGGTCCAGTGTGCAATGGCCAGCATCTCGGGCGCCTCCTTGACCAATATTTTGCCCGATGGCGATGAACGTCCCGGCTCCGTAAACCAGGCCATGGTGGAATCATCATACAGTATAACCCACTCCTCGGCCCAGCGGTTCCATAGCATTTGCTCTGAAAATAAATTTCATTTTTTGTTTTCTGTGTCTTCAAGCTCGGGACATGCATGCTGGGCACGGCTAATGCAGTCATAAATTTATCAAATTTCTTTTGCATTCATTGTAAAGATAACTTCAGTTAGTTAATAATTGTATGCATATGTCATATGGCAACTGTCATATTGAAGCTGTCGGTTGGCCCTTGCACTTGCAATTTGCCAAAAACGAGATTTTTTTATGGATAGTACTCACTTTTATAGCGTAGAAGGTAACCGCCTTTGATTTGCTTGCCGCCGGTGCCTGCAAAAAAACAAAATGAAAAGAAATAGAATTGAAAAATGAGAGCAAAATTGAGTTGGCGTAGAACTCATCTACGCGGCTTCCGCTGCAGCAATCGTTCGATGATTAATTGAAAACGCCGTTGCCAATGCCAATGCCACGCTCCACACTCCACTCACAGTTCTCCAGTGACCGCTTGCATTGACATCCCTCTCTAATCTGGCTGAAACCCAAGTTTCCCTGACAACCGGACCAGTATTCCAAATGTGCTATAGCTGTGCAGGAATGTAATAGTGTGTGTGTGCGAGTGTGGTCGTGGCTGTGAGTGGGTGTGGATGGGTTTTAAATTCTTTCCTGGCAAACAGCAGCGTACAAAACTGCGAAAAACATGAAGTTTTAGTTATCTTTCCCACTTTGGGGCAGAGTAATTTGATGCCCCCCCTTCGAACCCTATCCCATGAAGCGATGCATGATCTATCTGCATATGTATTATCATCCGTATTCCGATTCATTTGACTAATTAAATCGTATTCGAGGAATAATTGGCAACACGGAAATGTGAGCCTGTGGCAGAGCGAATTAATTATCTTAATAACGATGGATCGGATGTGGAGTGTCCGATTTGCCTGCACTGTAAAAGCCAGCATCCACCGTGCAAATTGTGAATTTATAGCTATTTTGGGCCAGTTGAACGAAATTTTGTATTGAATGCAGAAGAAACGTATGTATGCAAATACGGTGAGAGTAAATTATTCAGTGTCCGAATAGATTATAGCGAAAGTAAGGTTAATTGAATCAACCTTCGAATAAATGGGAAAATTGTGTTTTTGTCAAAAGAGTAAAACCGAATTAAATATGTATAATGTAATGCATAAAATGGCATACTATACATTCCCATTTATAAAATGAACTGATAAGCTGACGGAATGATATATATGTATATATATATACAGTCGTGCCACTTAGCATCCTTTAAGGACTGCAGTTGAGTAGCCAATCTATATATTGTACACTATATATAGATATATATATGTGTGTGTGTACATGAGTGAATATGAATATAATTAAGGCGGAATCGGGCGGATAGTGCCTGACAATAATTTTACTTGGCTGCTGATAGCTTGTCAATGCAATAAGCTGACACAGCAATTGAAAAACGCTCAAGGCTTGGCTGCCAATTTCTCGGCAAACGCTTTGCTCGAGTTAACCCCAAACGAAATGCAGACGTTGGAGGATATAACACAAAGATATCCATATACATACATATACATATCTAGTATGTACTTATATAGTATATACAGTGTATGCATACATATTATAGAAAGTGTCGACTGCGAGAGACAGTAGTGGTTGGGCACTGGCGTTGAGCTGAGGAACGAGGTCGCCGAAGGACACAGCGCCGCTTGTGCAAGCAGAGAAGCAGACAGTCAACTGACAAAGGACACACCGGACAACGGACATCATGTGTGCCACTTCAGTGCACGCATACAACCGCATCCATATTTTACATCCTACATTCACATCCATGTGACAAAGCAGCTGAAATTGCAAGTGGCTGCAACAGACGCCGACGACGACGACGACGACGACGACTGCGGCAACGAGCAGGCAACGGCTTAGACGACACACGGTTGCAAAATCAACTTGTACATAATTGTTGGAGCTACTGGGGCAAGTGTGCTGGGGAGGGGGCAGAGAGACGGGGCAAGGCGGCAGCTGCTGTACACTTGCATGATTTATACACGTGGATGCTTCCAACCTACTGACAGCGACGATGACAGCGCCAGGAGCGCCAGGATGCTTGGTGGATTCATTTAACTTGCACTAACACACAAATGCAGCTAGGTGGCAATGGGTAGTTGATGGTGCTGCAGTCAGATTGTTCTGTGTACGTGTGTGTGTGCGTGTGTGTGTGTGTTGGCCTTAATGATTTAATGCAGTTTACGTGCTTGGGCAAAGGGGCGTGGCCGCGCCACCGACGCGCTGATTGCAGCGTAATAACCGCCGCTGAATTCCACTTGATAAGTCGGAACACAAGTGGGCGTATGTACTTACATACGCCCATAATGAGCAGGTCAACAATGCGACCGCAGCGACATATAGAGAGCTAAGGACTGAGAGACAGCAAGTGCGAATTGAGAGGGAGAAAGTAAAAGAGAGAGAGAGAGAGAGAGAGGGAAAGAGAAACTGGGAGAGTGTACACACAGACACGCACACACTGGCACACACGCACAAGCAATCTGTGTGCGTCTGTGTTGGAATTCATTGAGGAAAATTGGCAGCCAGGCACGCGAGGCAACGAGCAAGATTCGCAAAAAACGAGTTCAAGGGTTTGCTCAAAAAACGGGGACAGCCCCGCGTTACACGCCCACACACACACACACACAGTAGCTCATGCATACAGATCTATCTACACACACACACACGCACGCACACATTGAGCTGGGGCTGTGGCTCAGCTTAAGCTAACCCTTCACTTACCCGCGGGCTGCTGCAGCTGCATTTGTAGCTGTGGCGAGAAAAACGACTCCTCACTTCTTGCCTTCACCTTTGAGCACATGGAGAACATAATTATTGGCTTTGGTTCCTTATCTTTGACTGTGTTTCGTATTGGCTGTGCTGGATTTGGCAGCTTCGTTAACGGTTAATTGATCAGTAACTGTTTAAGTGGTCGTAAGGATGCACGTTGTGCCGCAAACTTCACTTCATTAACGCTTCAATTGAGCTTCAGCTCAGTCTGCCATTAAAAACAAAGCAGTGATGTCAGCAGCCAACACACACACACACACACACACACACACAATCACACTTAATCACACACACTCAGACACACTTAGATACGAGGAGAGAGCTGTTTGAGCCGCATCCAGTTGCTGGGCAGGACAGAAAAACCCGCGTGTTCTGTTATCAAAGTTACAGCACACTTACACAAGGCACATCAATACACACACAAATTCACACACGCACACACAGACGCGCGCGGGAAAGTGTTTGCTGGCGTTGACGTCGCTTTCGCTTTCGTTTGCCTCTTCACTGTTCACTCCACCTCCTTCTTGTTATTGTTGTTGTTGGTGCGAGCAACGCCTTTTCTGGTCAAACTCCTCTGGTTGCCGTTGTTAATAGTATTGTTGTTGTTGTTGCTGTTGTTGTAGTTGTTGTTGTTGTGCTTCACATCGAGTTGCCGCTGCTGCCAATACTCTGATGATGATTGAAAGGGTCGGTCGCCTGGCGCTAATTAGATTTCCAATTGTGTGTGGCTATTTATTTTTTGAACTTATTCGCTGCCTACTTTCCTGGGCTCGGTCTCGGGCTCGGGCTCTGGCTCAGGTCAAGTCCGGCACAACGAGTACCCATCCACTGGAATGGTTATGGGTCAATCCTGTTTGCTGTCATTCAAATCGCCTGCGAGCGACACTTTCAGAATGGAACAGAGCGCGTAGTTGAAGCATTCACACACAGATTTATTTAGATTTGATTTGCTTTCTTTTTTCTTTTTTTTTTTGGGGGAACGGGGCGGTGTTTTTGTCTGTGATTTTGGATGGACTCTGCGGCTTGGTCACAAAATGCTGCTGCGGCTTCTGCTGCTGATGTGCTGCTGCTATTGTTCCCTGGTGCTGAATGCCTGTGTCCTCCTCGGCTGGGGCTTGTCCGCTGTCGCACCTCTGTTTGGTTGAACGGCCGAAACTCGACTGACGGACGCTGCTCGGCAAGAGTCGGTGGCTAGCATTGTCTGGCTGTGGCAGCAGCCGAGTCCATGCCGAACCACTGACGAAGCCGCATTAAAAGCTCTCGTTTAAGGACTAGGACAACACAGGCATACACAGACGTGTGTTGGGTGCTGGGCGGCTTCTGCTTCTGCTGCTGCGGCTGCTGCTGCGGCTGCTGCTGCTGCTGCTGCTGGTGGTGTCCTTCAACGTCCTACAGCAACAACACGATGAGATGCGTCGAAATGCCGATTCCACTGGCGGCAAACGGCCCGCCAAACAGATGACAGCAGACAACAGACAGCAGTTAGCATCTAGCATCCCAGCCGCCCAGCCGCCCAGCATCCGAGCATCCCAGCATCGCAGCAGCTGAGCAGAACGCAACCGCTGCGTCACTTTCACTCATCCTCATCCTCGTCCTCACTTTCGATAAAGCTGAAGCTTTATGTTTGCTTTTGCTCTCTCCCTCTCGTTCTCTCTGTCTCTTTCTCACCATTTCGCTCTCTCTTCTGTCTCTGTCTCCTTTTAACTGGGGCTCTCCCGTGTTAGTAGGTTACGTGCACACATACATCTGTACACATATACATGTGGGATATTCGTACTTGCAGTTGTCGTCGCCCTCATTCAGTCCCCCGCTTCATGTTGTCGTCGCCATCGTCTGTCACCGTTGTCTTTCACTTTTGGGTGTTCATGTTTTTGGGCAGAGTACAAGTGAGTGTAGGGGCCCGAGGCGTATCTGGAGTCGGAGCTGGTATCTGGCATCGGGTTGGGCCGCCATCGCATCTTTTGTTTGTGACACCCACTGGCAGCAGCTGCTCGGAGTCTGTTTTTCCCAGTGATAATCAGTAATAATGCGTTGTGTCACTATTCAAATGGAAGTCCAGTGAATAAACAGCGCTCGGTACTGCTTCAGCACTTTTCCCACTGTCCTAACCTTAAATACTTGTTTACCCACGTTAATACAGTACAACTACAAGTTATAAAATATAAGCATTAATTATCGACTACAAGCTTTAATTTTAACATTTTACTTCGACTTTATGTACATGACTTTTTAACAAAATCAGATTAAATATTTAAATTGCATTTTTAAATGATAATATTTAAATTTAATAAATATACATAGAATAAAAATGTTCGATATAAAAAAAAAAAACACAATCTTATTAACTTAATAATCGGAAGAAAAATAACAAAGGACGTTTTTCGAGATTTTTCCAGACATGCGGTGGAATTTCCCGAAACCCCGTCTTAACGTGCAACTTCATCATATAAGGTAACTAAATTTGACAATTTCAGATTAGCTCTTACGTCGGTCAGTCAGTCAGCCAGTCAGCCAGGACAAACAGTTTTCTATATAGAGATAATAGTTTATCGATTATTTATATCCATTTTTACTAAATGTTGACCATCAAATACGTTTTAAATCAGTATGTTAATCCATCATCTGCATATTTCATATTTTGAAATTAAAATGCACAACTCATTTGCTTTAAAAGTGAGCTCTACGACTCTATACAGTAAATATCTCCTGTCATTCTGTCAGTTTCTTTGCAAACAAGTTTCTCTCTCTCTTAAAGTAATCAATCGATACATAAATCGAAGTTGGCCTGATCGAACACTACAAATATCGTGCAACTGCCATATGAAAAAAGTTTTTGTATGAAAACTTTTTATATTTTTAAGATTCTTTTACAGGGCATACATGAAGTTTAATATGCTACATCAGACTTCTAGATTTGTTGTATTCCAAATTGGTTTTATAGTATAGAAAAATACAATATATTTGCAATGCTATTTAATCTTCGCTATCCCAAAGTTAACTCTTGTCTATTGTTTGTTTTGTCTATTCAACTATATGGGATAAGTTGAAGAAGGCACGGCGAATCAAAGTGGGAAACATTTTGTGGGGATAAAATCTACCTCCAATGGATTGCATATACTCGTCCTGCCATATACAAGCATGTATACATTTCCCAGCATTGCTTTCCTGGACTGGCGGTCAGTTTGTGAACTGATTTAAGTGCAGCGCAAATGCATTTTGAGTTTTGCGAACATTTTGCACGAGATGATTGCATTATGGCGAAGTAACAAAATTACAACGCAACTGGATACCATCCGCCTATGCATGCCGTGACCAAAGCGATGCGCAATAAAATAGCGTTGGTTGTTGACATGGCTACCTGGTTATTGAACATAAGCCTCTTAGTTGCCGGTGGTTCAGGTGGTGCATCTATTCAATTGGGTGCACATGTGGGTATTATCGAAAGCTGCACACAGCTAACTCAACTACGACTAGAATAGATAAAATACGCATTTTTGCATCAAGCAGATCTTTCAATAAACAAACGACAGGACATCTGCAACCACCTAACTCAGAGCTAGAGCGATTCCAGCGGCGATTCCTTTGTTCCTCGTTCGTGCTTCTACATGCAAAACGTTTCAAATCTCTTATCCAGTAGCACTTTACTATATAATATATATAGACCAGCGATTGTAACTCGGCTTTGCGCGGGCCAAGTTATTGTCCAATTTTTGCCAATTATCAGCAGTTACGTGGGGAATGGCCTAAAGCGTCGTTGATCAGAAATCAGTCGGTCAGGGCAAAAATATTTTTATATAAAGGCTAGCTGGCATTTCCTGGCATTTCCTGGCCTTGCGTTGCTACTTTTTTTTGCTGCAAATTATAATCATCAATTTACATCCATTTCCCACCCGTGGAAAAGAAGGTATTTCCTTGCCTTGAAATCTACCGATCTTGATCTCCACTTCTATTTTAATTAAATAAAATTAATTATGTTTTAAGTGCATTGAAAAAAGAACCAAGTGTTGGAATGAGCAGTTTTCGTCTATGTTAGTCTTGGGTGAGAATCTTGAAGGTGAAGAATAAACTTTTGGATATTAAACCTTTGAACTGAATTTGCCATCCAAGATCGTATCAAACAAATTCTCACAAACCTCTTTGAAAATGTTTTTGAACCCGAACCGATGGTAAGCAAAAAACTTTCCTACAACCGTTATTTGCTAATTAACCACTATTGTGGGCGGAATTTCCCAAATAGCTGAAACAACTTGTCATTAAGTTCTGTAGAGCTTTGAATATAACTTTGATCCAAAACGGACAAAATTTAAAACTTATCCCAAAAAATCTTTGAATTTAATTTTGCACCGAGGAAGCTTGGGTTCTGCGAAAAGTGTGAGACACGTATCAACTGATTTATCATATAGATCATTGGAAATAAATTTGAACACGAAACGTCACCCACCAAACCCTTGAACCCCATTTCCACCAACGAGTAATCCTAATCCTAGTCATGAATTTGAACAAAGGTCTTTGAAAATGAGTTTGAGGCATGGTAATCTATGGTAACCTATGCAAATTGTGGTAAATGAATTTTCGTAAAGATTCTTCTAAATGAATTTAAGCCCGAAACTTTACCCATCACATCTTTGACCATAATTTCTAACAAAGAGGGATGGATTTTGCAAAAATTGTAAAACGCCTTGAAAAAATATGAACTTAAATCTTCAAAAAAGAGTTTAAGGCCAATCGGATGGTAAACAAAAAAGTTTAATGCATCCGTTTTCCGCGATTAACCCAGCATTTTTGTTTTGGGAATCATTCAGTTAGTTGGGACTAAAAAAAGTTGTATACACAGAGATGACAGCTTTAAAACATTTTTGTAGCTTTCGTAAATGTACAGTTGTGCATTGCATTGACTGAAAGTTAATTAGCATTTAAGTGAACATTTTCCCAGAGATGATTGCATTATAGTTAAGTAATAAAATTACAGCTCAACTGAGGGTTCCGGGAACAAACATGACACCATCCCCTCATGTGTGCAGTTCCTAAAATGCTGCGCAGTAATATGACGCTGGCGTTTGCCATGGTTACCTATTTATTGACCGGAAGCCTCCTAATTGGAGGCGTGGCAGTGGTGCACGCTATTAATTATGTGCAGACGTGTGTTTTGGCAAGCGCTGCACACGGCCAGCGGGAAAGTGCATCAGTCGAGTAGGAGAC